GAAAGAATGCATGCTTGGACAAGCAGCCTGGCTGAGGGACAGAATAATGCTTCAGTCTCTGTACTCTGCAAAATGTCCTGCCAGCTACAGTCACAAGTGGTGATGGGGAAGAGATTTGTTTTCGCCCTAGTTAAAATGACACTTGGTGACTTGGCCCATGATGCAGATGAGTGCTGAAAATTATCTTCTCTTCCATCTGGTTTACTCTAAGCAAGGGAATGATTGCCTCAAACCACTATCTCCTTTTGACTCTGCACACATTAGCTTTGTCTCTCATTGTAGAGCTGGAAAGGACTCAAAAGCCTGAGAGGTGGGTGAGATATAAGAAACCAGAAAGAACAGGGTTTCTTCACCCTCTCCTGAGACAGTCCCCAGTTCAGATCATGGAGGGAGTGAATCAGCTCAGGTGTTGGTCCTCACTCTTGAAAAGAGGCAGGTGGAAAGAAGGCAAAGTGATGGAGTGATGCTGAGCAGGAGAATTGGGAGGTTGTGGTAAGTTGCTGGGCACACCTGCACTGTGCAGCTTGCTCTGGCTGCCTGGAGCTTGCCTTCTCCCCAGCCCTGCCCCGGCTGCTCACTGCCATGCTTTACCCTGGGGCTGGCATGTGTTGGATGAGTCTGCTTAGCTATGACGGCCAGGCTAATCAGGGTTGATGGCAAATGTCTGTCACTGTAGTGTCTGCAGTTTGTCAGGAAAGGCCTCTGGATGCTGCAGACTTGAGGCAGCCGATTCACTTTGCCCAAACCCAGGAGAGAGTTCAGTGACTTTGCTTCATCTTTTGGCTTTGCTCAGCCCCGTGCTTCCTTTCAGCAGCTCGCTCCCCAGTACTCCTCTAACCCTCCTGGCACTTCTCATCCCTGCGACATACTTTCCCCCGATATCCACTGCTGTGTTGGAGTGGCGAACACACCTCTGTTGTGCTCGTGGCTTTGCTCCCACAGGATATCCTGCTAGGAATAGCCCTGCTGGTGAGGTCCTATCTAGCACTGTTCCCCACCCCTTAACCAAGGGCATGGGTGAGCAGCAGGGAAGTATATCTGATCTTCTTTTGTGAGGATCCTTCCTTGAATGCCCACAGCCAATGCTGTTTCGTTTCCTCCTTTCTACTGGCCTCCTCATGAGGGTGTGGGGAAGAGAAAAGGCCTTTCAGAGCTCACACCTGGCACTCATGAATATTTCATGTTTCTAGCTTTTCTTCCCCTTGAAGAGCAAAACCTTTTCATATTTGATGCCTTGGGAGTCTGTTTGGTTGCCGAATGTTACTTCACCAATGCTCTCCCTCTCTGCTTTTCCTCCAGACTGCCCAGCCCCTCTTCCTTTTTCTTCCCAGAGAACATCTTTTTTCAAAGGCTACTTCAGAAAAGGTCACTGTCCATTTCATATTCTCTTCTTGCTGTGAGCCAGCGTGGCTTCTCTTCTGCCAATGGCAAAAGACAAACAGGGATGCGGGGAAAGGCAGCAGTGGAGAGGAAGGCTGGGAGACCTGTGCACATAAACTGTAGTGTAGAGGCAGAGAAAAGTAAAGGGGCAGAGCAGCATGCAGAGGCTGTGAAAGGTAGGAAGGAGGCAGCAGCAGGACTTTGCCGAAGAACCAGCTTTCCAGAACCTTCCAGAAGTTGTCATGCAAGATGCACCAGTGTTGCTGTGGATGGTGTCTTGTCTGGCAAAGGCCCCTTGGAAAAGGGTTCTCCAGGGTAGGGTGCTCCTGAAGCTACACTGACAAATATGCCTTTTGCCCATTTCCATTGCCCTGCAGCTGCTTTAGGGACCTTGCAATCTCATTCACCAGCATCTGCAGCAAATCATACCCCTCCATCCTTGGGCTTTTCAGCCTTTCTCCTGCTTTTCCCTAGGGATTGTGAGTGCTTGAGGAACCAGGGACCATTTAGAACCTGCTCCCAGTCAGGCTGTCCAGACCCTGAAACACACTGCCTTGCAGGTGCTGCCTGAGTGGGGTTCATCCCCTCCTGCCCAGGAAGACACCTGGCAGTGAGGATCCTTCCTTAGAAACCCACAGCAGACTCCCCAGCATGGCTGCTGGACCAGCCCATCCCTTCCTGGTTCCGGGGTCTTCAAAGCCTCAGGTGTGGACAGACTCATGCAGGAGGGGACAGAGAGGCTGCAAGGGGTTCCCCCCAAAGTGCCTATAGGGACTGGCAGAGGTGCAGGAGGGTCACTACCAAAATGCCATAGCAGAGGACAGGGCTTAAGGACTCGGGCATGAGTATTGCAGGCAGCACAGCACAGGCAGTAGGGGAGGCTAACAATGAAGAGAACAAAGGTACTGAGCTTGTATTTACACTGTGCCTTTCATCCATATGGAAGTAGTAGTTGAAGTACCTCCACTAACTGGGTGAACTCAGCAGAGGAGGTCCATTCGAGGGAAAACTGATGCCTCTGATGAAAAATGGGTTCCCAGAGCTATTGCTTTGTGGTTTAGGGCAGGAAACAGAAGAGGATTTGGCACAAAGTAAAGGGATGAATTTGTTTTAAAGGTAGCTGGCTGATAGGAGAATTGCAGTTGATGTTTGGATGGGTGTAGTTTCAGTGTTCTTGCTTTTGGAAGATCTAGTCTCATATCCAACATCAGCACCAATGGGCAGAGAAGGATGACTGTTTAACTGAGAGACTTTTAAAAAATAAAAATCGCTTTCCATTTGGACTTAGAAATGGAACCCACCAATGCTGAAATTCTTTGTGATATGGAAAAAACACCAAGCACTGGTGCTGCCTGCCTGGTAGCCACCTACCTAGCATGGGGCCACCTGCCTTTTTTGGGGTTATGGGCCCAGTACTCCAGAGAACCTGGCATGAGGGCAATCATTATGGTCCTGGAGCTGTGGATAGCACAATCCTGTACCATCAGTAGCATCTCTGAGAGTCAGAGTATTCCAAGGAAAAGGCAGGCAAATTTTAGAAGTCATTTGTCTTCTCTTGGAACATGGACAAAATCAATTTTTGCAAATTCTGACCCAACAAGTGTGTTATATGTAAAATTCTGGTAGGGATGTCTGTTCTATTTGTTCTGTGTTTTAGTGTAAGGACAGTTGCGTTCTTTGCATTATCTCTGCTGTAAGACAGAGCTAGCATCAATTGATCTGAAAAACATCACCCCCTCTTGCAGTGCTGCTGGCACAGCTTCCCAAGTCACTCACCTCTCCCTAATGCACTGACCAGGACAGTTTATGGGAACTGATGAGCTCGCACTGTGAAGCAGCGTTAATGCTGGGAACATGCTGCACTGCAGTGAGGGTATGTGGCCTTAAAGCCAAAGTGTTGTGCAGTGTTGCTCCAGAGCCTGGCAGGTCACAGCAACAAACAGCAGGGCAATGTGGCTATGCTGTTGGGCTTTGTACGCTGACAGATCAGAAAGCTATCAGTGAGTCATGGCATGTCTGCCATCCCCAGTGAGCGGCTGGCCCTGTGCCTTTGCACTCCTGAGTTACTGATGTGCTGTCTAGAAACTGCCTTAACTGGTGACTAGTGATACAGCTGGGCAGTCAGGCAAGCAGGGCTGAACTGCTGCTCCACAGCCTGGCCTTAGAGATAATGCCATCATTCCTTGTCCTTCATGATTCCATGTAGCCATCATTAAGCATCTTCTCCTTCCTACACATCACTTACTTGCAAATACCACTCCTGGCCATCCCACCCCAATCTGTCCCCAAAACATTCCTTCCTGAGCTAAATCAGTCTGATGTACCACATCAGGCACCCTTCTCCCTCTCCCTTCAGTGTGTGTGCACCCCACAACTGCATGCCCCCCACAGGCACCACTATCCGTCCCCTCTCCACAGTGTGAGCAGCCCAGGGAATAGAGATATAGAGCATAATGCACAGCATCGTGTGGCTAATTACTTGATTCTGGGCCCACAAGGGGTATTAGTTTGTGCCTCAAAGGGCTGTCAGAGAATCCTAATCTTATCTTCCCCTCCTCTTTCCCCTTCCACTGCCATCTAAAGTAATGAGCTGGTTATAAATACCTAATTAGCTAATTATTTGCTGGCCTACATGGAACATCTTCAGTGAAGGAACTCCCTGAACCTCTGGGGAAGGGACCTCCCTGGAGGCAAGGAGAGATTATGACATGAGGTGTATATGGGGGTAAAGGCAGTATGGTGATGCTCAGAAGAATTTCTAGACTTTTGCTGTCCCCAGAGAGCAGAGGAAAAGTCATTAGCTTCATGGAGAAATGAGCCTATCCTTACCCCTACTTGTTGCTATGTGAGCTGAAGAGCCTGGGGAGACATAAAACCACAGAAATAATTAATTAGGTAATTAAAATTTTTTTTAAAAAAGTTTTGGCAATATTTGCACTGGCCAGAGGTGCTGTGATGACAGCATTTCAGGCTATGCCTGCTATGTCTGTGCTCCAGCCCCACTGGGGAGGGAGGACTAGCCAAGAGAGGAGAGTGTGGTCTCCATGACTGTCCCCTGATGATGGTGTTGCTGAGAAAACTAATTTATGCCAGTTTATGTGTGCTGGAGAGGTTCATCCCTCTAGGCAGGTTGGTCTTGGTCCATTGATACAGTTCTCAGGTTCCAGCATGCAGTTGTTAAACGGGGATGACTTGCAGTCTGAGCCATCTGAGGATGGGGCCACTGAGCTGCTGTGCACCTCTGGGACAGAGTTGTCACTCTGTTGCCCATCTGCAGGGAAGGAGAAGTGAGGGATATCTGTCAGGTAGCTGATGGTACCAAAAGTTTCATTCTCTTTTCTTCTCATTGCTGTAGATGGAGGCTTAGGGTTAAAAGATCACAGCATCACAGCAGTTCTTCTGGCTGCATGTCAGGACAAGAAAAGGCAACAATCACAAATTTAGCCTGGTTTGGCAGCAATTAATTTCTGATACTTTGCTTTTATTTTTATCTTTGTATGGCTTTTTTTTTTTTTTAATTTGTGTGTCTCCTAAATTTTCCTTTCCTTCTCCTTCCCTTCTTTTTTTCTCTTTCTCTCCCTCCATCCCAAAATTGTCCTTCTGGTTCTCTTCTGCTGCAGGCATGCGTATCCTTGTGAACTTGCTCCTGGACACCTTGCCCATGCTGGGGAACGTCCTTCTGCTCTGCTTCTTTGTCTTCTTCATCTTCGGCATCATCGGGGTGCAGCTGTGGGCTGGGCTGCTCCGCAACCGCTGCTTCATGGAGGAGAACTTCACAATGTGAGTGCCTGGGAGATGATGTCTCCTTCCTTTCTTCCAGGGACATTGCTCTTTCCCCTTCCCTGATCTTTTGCCTTCTGCTGCCTGTGTATCACTTACTCCAAATGGCTGTAGGATGATAGCCTGCAGAGCACTGGCCACATCTTGCAATAGAAAGGGGAGGGAGGGCAAAGGCAACTGGTTTTAGTCTGTCTTCAGAGTCCACAGATGTCTGGGCTTATTTTGATTTGGCCAAGACACAGATTAGCTTAGCGGCCTCCTCCAGACATGCCCAGGGATTCAAGATGCTGCTCCTACTCCCAGAAAGAGTTGAAACTCCGAAACACCAGCCATCTTTCTCCTGAACTTTTCTTAATCTTCAAAAAAACTCAACCAGATGAGTCTTACAGAAAGCTATAGTGTTGCCTGATGCTTCCAGGGACGTCTTTGGCACCTCCAACATGGATTTGATGTTGCTGGACAGCAGTGCATTAGCTCCGGAGGCTTTGGAGGGACACTGGGAAATTACTGGAAAACTTCGGGAGTATAATTGCACATGAGAGGGGACAGAGGGCTGTTGGGAGAGGTGTCCCACACCTGGGTTAGCAGAAGTGAGAGCATCTGAAAGCAAAGAATGGCTGGTTGAATAGGGCAAAAAACCCATGGAGAAACATGTGCCCAGTTCTGGCAGAGAGAGCCAGGAGCCACATGATGGTCGATTTACAGCTATCTGAGGTTTATTCTGGGGGCGTTGGGGTGAGCCTGCAGAGCATGGATCTCCCCCTCCCTGGAGGCAGTGGAAAATCTCCTGCCCGACATGAGTTCTGCAATTACTCTCCTGAGGAGCAGAGCACTAGTTCCAGGGCACAGCTCCTCCTGTTGATTTTCTGGCTTTAGCAGATCTCAGGCTTTAAAATGTCATCTTAAAACCATATGCTAATCCCAAGCGTCCTATCAGATTAGACTGCTTAAAAAACCCTAAAACTGTAGATCAGTTTAGACTGATTAAACAATTCTGAAGCTTTAGATCATCTCAAATTGAAAAAAACTGTGAAAATACAATCTACAGAACAGCAGTGGGATTGGAGAGTAGGAGCTGTTTAAAGCAGCCATTTACTGTGTTTATATATTCCTTGGGGGAAAACAAATGTTTAGGATGATTGTCCTTTATGTAAATCAGGGGTAGTACTACTTTAATGAGTTTAATTGCATCCATGCAGAGTTGATGTAACTGAGAATGGAATTGGGGCCATAACCTGCAAAGTGGGAGACACTAGAAAATCTCTGGCTGACCATTACTAGAGAAATGAATTCTGCAGGCACCCAGTTCACCAATGACATGGATGCATTACAGCAGATCTTTGTGGTTTAGTCCCACTTAGTTTAGACTTACTTTCTCTCTTTTTCATCAACACCTGTCCTCTCCCAATGACACTTGGTAAAAAAGTCTGCATTCGTGTGATGTGAAAGTTGTGTATAGTAACACTACAAGGAATGCACCAGCTAAAGTTTAATGGAAAATATTAAATCTGCACCTTTTGCTTTCCTGATCACTAGCTTATCTTGAACTAGGCAAACACAGATGATTTTAATTATTCATGCATTTGGAAGGTGCTTGCACTATTTGGAAAAAAAGCACATGAACTTGTCGTAAAACATTGCACCCATAATGCCAATTGTCAAGGAGAAGTCAAGGTTAAGTCAATTTTAACTTTGCATTTCCTGATTTTAAGGCTTAGCTGTACAACCTTAATTATGCATGAACTGGATTTTTTTTTTGGCAGTACAGAAGGTTCACTGCCAAATGTTATAAAACATGTCCATCAACGGTTACATACATGAGCACATCACCCTAAAGCCTGATGAACCTCCCTAATATCACTGCGTCTGATTTAGCTTTGATGCCAATGGAGAGAGTGATCAGAATGCAAGTCTCTGCATTCCAACTTTTGTCTTCTCCGTGCAAGAAGATTGTGTAATTTGGCTTGGGGTGGTCTGATGGCAGGCAAAACTCTGAAAACTGGGACTTACCCTGGAAATTTCCTGTTTCCCAGGAGCTCTATCTTCCTTCCCCTTCCCCTGAGGCCATAAACCTAGAAATCCCTCACCTGATGCAGTCCTTGTGTCAGGATGGGAGCTCCCACCTCCACCAGTGTTGCTGATGGGAAACTGTCTGCTACAGGAATTTTATGACTGTGGGTTTTTATCCTTGCAGACAAGGTGATATTGTCCTGCCCCCTTATTACCAACCTGAGGAAGATGATGAGATGCCCTTTATCTGCTCACTATCAGGAGATAATGGAATTATGGGCTGTCATGAGATACCCCCAATGAAGGAGCGAGGCCATGAATGTTGTTTGGATAAGGATGATTATTATTACTACAACTCAGTCCGACAAGAGTTCAACATCAGTGGCATGTGTGTCAACTGGAACCAGTACTACAATGTGTGCCGTACCGGCAATGCCAACCCACACAAGGGTGCCATCAACTTTGACAACATTGGGTATGCCTGGATTGTGATATTTCAGGTAAGACCAAGTTAACCTCCTAACACGGCTCAAGCTATTTTTCTTTCTTCCAACTCAATCTTTCTATGCTCCCATGATGGTTTCTGCAACGTGTGATACAACTTCAGAGAGAAAAGGGCCTTGTAACTACTCTGGCAAGAGAGACAGAGTCCACACCATGAACCATGTTCCTGAAGATGGGGAGGGGCATTCCACACCCTTGCTGAAATTACTACACCCTTCAGCCTGACTTGTACGAGTTCTACCTTCAATCCAGATAACTACAGAAAAGGAGTTGTTTGGGGTTTGGGTGGGGTTTTTTTGTTTTTTTTGTTTTTTTAATTCCCAGCATATGTTGCAGATGGGAGCTAAAATCAGTGCCTTTTTTCTTTTCCACCGGCTGTACGTGGTGTCCAGTCCAAGGGGCACAGAAACCTGCTGCGGGTTTTTCCCTGCTGCGATCCAGGGAAATGAACTATTTTAATGAAATACTCCTGCTGTGGGCTAGCATGATTTCACAGGCTTTGACAACATGCCAGTGTCACCAAGCAGTACCGTGCTGATTTTCTGGAATGGAAATTTGGCCTCCTTGAAATGAATTGTTGTTTCCCACCTTCCTTAGGTTGCAACAGCCCTGACAGTATCTGCCTGTATGCACTGAGAAGTGAATTCTGGAAGCCCACTTCCCTCCTGTTTCCTTTGTTGTTGTTTGTCTTTGCAGGTGATCACACTGGAAGGGTGGGTGGAGATCATGTACTATGTAATGGATGCCCATTCATTCTACAATTTTATCTACTTTATCTTGCTGATAATCGTAAGTATGAGACTTGATGGCTGTTAGCATTGCAAGGTAGGAGCCTACAAAACCCAGGTGTTTTTGTAGGCTTTTAGCCTACAAAATAGAGCCTGCAGATACTGGGGAAGCAAACTACTTAAACTGGATTTCTTCTAGGAATTGCAGGAACCCAGCTAGTTGATTTTCACTAAGAGTTGGTGCCAGGATCACATGGTTGTCAGCCAGGTTATTCTCTTCCACTCAAAAAATATGCTCAGGATTGACTCCTAGACATGTACATACCCAGTGTAGAATAAGGTTCTCATTTGCAGATCGGCTCTCAAAGTTCCCCAAACCAGTAGGCCCAAAAGCACAGAAAACTACTTCTGCATCTTCCCTCTTACTTGGTCTCTCTATACGTTTTAAGCTCTTGAGTCACCTTTGAGTCATGTTTTATGGATTTTGGCAGCACCTGGATTTCTCAGATTCAGGGTCTTGGATTCAGATTTTGTCAGATTCAGGGTCTGTCATGCTGAATTACTTCCTCACCATGAACAAAAAGGACCTGCTGCTCCAAAAGTGTCAGCAGTCCAACACAAACTGGCTGTGTAAGGTCACTTGGGGCTAGTGGGGATGGAAGGAGAGAAGTGTGTCAGTGGTAAGAACATAATAAGCAGTTTATAAGCCCTGTGGGTTTATAGAAGTGAAGTCTGAAGGTTGCTTTGCTGTAAGAATGTTTGTTTCGAATGCCTGGAAAGCGAGTTGAGAAACCTGGTGCCATTGTCTCTTCTATTCCTTAAGCCTCCTACATGTAAATGTATTTTCTTGGAGGGAATATCCTGCTTCTAACAAGGATTTTGTTTTTTTGAAGACTTGCACTCTTCCCCTATGGGGATCAAAGTCAAGAGTAGAAGGAAAAGACATAGGATGGATTATGAGAAGTATAAAATCTACACAGTACACAATTTAGTTCCAGGTCACTTAGTAAGGACCTCGGTGTATTTCCAAGGCATACATGCATTTGAATGGCTTCTGAATGGACCTGGCTAAGACTCTGCTCTTCACCTACTACTTGTCCTATGTGGCCATGCCCTCCCAGAAATAGGATCTCTGGAAGCAGTAACCCAGTAACAGACTCAGCTGGCACAAGATCGAGCTTAAATTCAAATTGACATGCAGTGACTTGAGAGCAAACAAACCTTAATCCAGTTTCTGGGAGAAATTCTGCAGCCTGTACGTAGGGGAAGTGACACCAAGAAACCTCTACTGGTCCATTCAGGTCAGAGAACTTACAAAACCACTGAATCTTCATGGTATCCTTGATTTCTCCCTGCCTTCTGGCCTTCTACCATTACAAGGGAAAGACATGGAGAGAAAACCAGAAAGATGACCTACTCCATTTGGACTGAAGCATAAGCCAGGGCAGCAGAGGTGAAATACACCTTAAGGAATGCTGCTTTTACTTTGAGGCTGGAGAGTCCCAAGGAGAGACAGTGCAGAGGTATGATTGCACAGGATGGAGGGAGGGGGCAGTTCCCTGCAGTTCTGTTCCAAAAGGTAAACTGAACATCCATTGCTTTTTGTGAGTTCAGAAAACAATTATTTCCCATAAATTTTGTTCAGATTTCCCATTATGCAATAGATATTTAGTACCTAATTGCATTTTTACTTTGAGTGGCATGGCCAGTACCCAGATTTGTAAAATGTGCAGTTCGGCACAGAACTTATTCCTTGTCTCAGATCCAGTCTCTCCCAGAGCCAGGGAGGACTGTGCGGAGTCAGTGTTTAACCACTGGTGTGGGCATGCCTGTCTCCTGCAGGCCAGTTCCAAAAACTGATCCTCACCCCTGCTCCAAACTAAATAAATTCTGTCAGCATATTTTTGGTTTCTAAGCAGGAGCATACTTCTAGTGCTGGCTCAACTCATGTGGATTCCCAGGGATTCAAACTTTGTCTCTGAATTTGCAGGTGCTGAAAACCCTCAATTAAACACTCCACCTGAGATTTTACTGCAGAGTGTCATTGACATTTCTAGATACTCCCTCCTCATTTGCAGAAGCCATGTAGGTTTATTTCCAATAAACACAGTAGCACATGAACCTCAACTAACTCTGGGGACTGCTCAGAACAAAGGAGCTACATGGGATATTTCCTTTGCCTTTGGTGGAGTTACACCAAGAAAGTATTTAGCCTTTCTGTTACCTTCTTTGCATGTGTAATGCGTTTTTTGCAGCACATAGCAACACCACAGTGTGAACATGCTATCACTTGGTTTCATTTTCCCTCTGAGTCTTCTTATAGAAATGATAATCCCTCTTCAAGTCTCATGAAGCACAGTCCTTCCAGACTTTATCCTTCCCCCCTTCTCCATGGTTTGAAAGGCCGGGGTTTCTAAGCAGGATTGCTCTGAGAGTCATACTTCAATCCCTGACCCTTCTTCTTTTCCACATACATCCTAGCCTTGGCTCAGACTCGCTCTGCCGGGTCTGGATCTCTGCAGCCTCTTCTTTAGAGCTATGCTTTCATCCATGACTTCTTCTCTCACAGAGATATCTTCAAACACCTGCCGAAGGGCATTGACTACTACTGCTCATCTGTCAGGAAGAAGGCTCCACCACCTGGATATATTTTCAGCACAGTTAGGACTCCTGTATAGATGTGCTCCCCCAAGGGGAAGAGGCTGACCCTGACACTCAGAGTGGTAAATACTGGTAAAAGCATTTTCTGTATTCAGCAAATTACAAATAGCTTCTCCCTCTGCCAAAGATCAGGGAGGTGACATGAAGGAAGTACTGCTTTCACCTCTCTGGTCAGTGTCTCATTTGGGTCTTCCTGCTTGAAATTCAGCTGTCTGTCACCTCTCCAGCCACTGGTGTGGCTCCTGGACTAGAGAAAGCTTTTCTGACATCTCGGGCTCGCATCCACACTGCAGCACTCAGTGGCCTCCTTAAAGTACTCTGTGCTTACACACAGAATCATAGAATACCAGGTTAGAAGTGGCCCCAAGGATCATCTGGTCCAACCTTTTTGGTAAAAGCATGGTCTAGACAAGATGGCCCAGCACCCTGTCTAGCTGAATCTTAAAGTGGCCAATGCTGGGGAATCCACCACTCCTTAGTGAGATTATTCCAGTGTCTGATTGTTCTCACTGTGAAAAATTTTCCTCTTCTGTCCAATTGGAATCTCCCCAGGAGTAACTTGTACCCACTACCCCTCATCTTTTGCAAGTGAATCCTTGTAAAAAGGGGGTCTCCATCTTCTTTGTAGGCACCCTTTAAATACTGGAACATGGTGATAAGGTCTCCTCTAAGTCTTTTCTTCTCAAGACCGAACAAACCCAGTTGTCTCAACCTTTCCTTATAGGACAGGCTTCCCAGTTCCTTGATCATCTTTGTGACCCTCCTCTGGACCTTCTCCAGCCTGTTCACATCTTTTTTGGTATAGTGGGGACCAAACCAGAACACAGTGTTCCAGGTGTGGCCTGAGAAGCGCTGAGTAGAGTGGAGTAATCACTTCTTTATCTCTTCTGGTGATGCCCTTGTTCATGCAACCCAACATCCTGTTGGCTGCAGCATACTGTTCACTCATATTGAGCTTGTTGTCCACCAGGACCCCCAGGTCCCTTTCCAGAGAGCTGCTTTCCACTCACGTAGATCCCAGTCTGTGCTGCACTCCTGGATTATGTTTTCCTAGGTGCAAGACCTTACACTTGTCCTAGTTGAACTTCATGAGGTTCTTGTTAGCCCACTTTTCTAGCCCATCCAGGTCCGCCTGCAGGGTAGCTCTCCCTTCTGAAGTGTCCACTTCCCACTCAATTTGGTATTGTCATGAAACTTCATCAAGGTATACTTGATTCCATCATCCAAATCACTTATAAAGATATTAAACAGTGTTGGGCCCAATGTTGGTCCCTGGGGGACCCCACTTGAAAAGAGCTATTTGCCACCACCTTCTGGGTGTGGTCTGTGAGCCAGTTCCCCACCCACCGCACAGACCACTTGTCTAGACTGTAATGTATCAGTTTCTCTCACAGGAGGCTGTGGGGAACCATATCAGAAGCCTTGGAGAAATCCAGGTATGCAATGTCCACTGTTTGCCCCACATCAACTAAGCAGGCTACTTTGTCATAGAAGGTGATCAGGTTTGTTGAGCATGAATTGCCCTTGGTGAAATTGTGCTGGCTTTTCCCAATCACATGCTTCATTTGACTTGTGATAGCCCCGGGGAAGATTTGTTCCATAACTTTCCCAGGGATTGAAGACTGATGGGCCTATGATTTCCTGGATACTCTTAAGAACTTCTAGTAGATGGGGGTGACATTTGCCTTCTTTCAGTCTTCTGGGACATCCCCCCATCTCCACAACTTCTCAAAGATTATGGAAAACAGCCTCACAATAACATCAGACAGCTCTCTTGACACCCTTGGGTGGATAACATCAGGGTCAATCAATTTGTAGAGGTCAAGCTCCTGTAATATAGTTCACACCCCAACTCTTCCTTCACTGACAATGGGTCTGTGTTTGTATCCATCTGGATTTTTACTTCCAAGGCCTGGGGCTCAACAGTGCTGGTAAAGACAGAGGTGAAGAAAGTGTTGAGAACCTCTGCCTGGTCAGCGTTATTGGTGATAAATTCACCTCTCTGTTTAATAGTGGGCCAATATTTTCCTGCTGTTTCTGCTTTTTGTTTATGTAGCTGAAGAACCCTTTATTGTAGTTTTGACATCTCTGGCCAATTTCAATTTGAACTGAGCTTTTGCTCATCTAACTGCCTCTCTGCACACCCTGGCAATGCCCTTGTAGTTCTCATTGGGTATTCATCCTCTTTTCCATCTCTGGTACGCTTATCTTTTGGTTTGGAGCAGACTCGGAAGCTCGCAGTTAAGTCAAGGGGGTTTCCCACTCTATCCACTTCCCTTACCTTTAAAGGGAATGAACTGGTTTTGTGCTTCCAGGAGAGCAGTATTGAAGCACTTGCTAGCTCCTTTATCCTCTGTGGAAGCTTCCCATGGAAGCTCTGAGTGAGCTGAAGTTTGCTCTTGTAAAATCTAGAACCTTTGTCGTAGTACTAACCTTCAGCATGCTCAGCAAACTCCACAATATTGTGATCACTGCAGCCAAGACCATCACTAACCAAGATATAACAAAGCAGGTTTTCTTGGTTTGTGAGTAGCAAGTCCAGCAGTGCCTCATTCCTGGTTGGCACATCTAACATTTTTATGAGGAAGCAGTCCTCTACACATTTCAGGAACTTTATGGATGATGTGTGAGCTGCTGTATTGTTCTTCCAACAAATGTCTGGGTAGTTGAAGTCACCCATAGAAACCAGGTTCTGTTGACCCAAAGCTTGCTTAAGTGACCCAAATCTTGCTTTTATAGCCTTATCGTCTTGGTTTGGAGGTTGGTAGCAGATGCCTACTGTAAGATCCGCTTTGGACACAATCCCTCTGATCTTGACCCAGAGACATTCAATAGGGCTTCCACAATTGCTGTAGTTGATTTCTATGCGTTCAAGGTTCTCCTTACCATAGAGCACCTCTTCTTCCCTGCCTGTGTTTACAAAACTGCCTATAGCCATCCATCACAATCCTCCAGTTACATGAGTTGTCCCACCATGTTTCAGTTATTCCTATATCATAAATTTCAGACTGGGCATGGAGCTCCAGTTCCTCCTGTTTGTTTCCCAGGCTGCTTGCATTGATACACATACACTTGAGGTGACTGATCTGGTTCACATCTTGGGAGGCAGCTAAGGAACATTTGTCACTGCTCTGGTTGGCTTGGCTTATTTCCCAGTTATGCATTGCCACTTTGGACCCTGCCCCCAGAGTCCTTCAGTTTAAATCCCACCTCACCAAGTTGACCAGCCTGCTGCCAAAGATTCCCGTGCTTTTTCTAGGCAGGTGGATCCCATTCCTCCCTAGCAGGTTATAGTCATCAGAGAATGTCTCATTATTATAAAAGCCAAAGCCCTCACAGCAGCACCAGTTACGAAGCCAGAAGTTGATTTGCATTATAAGTCTATTTCTGGCTGCACCTTTTCCTCTAACTGATAAAATGGGAGAAAAGATAACTTGGGCATCATTACTTTTTTGCTTGCACCTCCAGGGCTTTGTAGTCTTCCTTGATTCTGCCCAGGTTTCAGCTTGCGGTCTCATTCAAGCATGAAAGAGTAGCAAAGTCTGTGCTTTTGACAAGTTGTTGCAACATCTCGGACCCTAGCTCCTGGAAGGTAGCATACCTCATGATTCCTTGTCAGACAGATGGGTGCCTCAGTGCCACTCAACATAGAGTCACCCACTGCAAGCACTTGTTGCTTCTTTTTGCAGTATCCACTGTGTGCTGCTGGTACAGTTTCTCCTTGCGGACCTTGCTCATGGGTGTCTACAACTGTTAGATTTTCATATCTGGTTTTGGTTCTAATGCTGGAGGGTGGGGACTGAAGCAGGGCCCTGCTTTTGTGGGTCACCAGGGTCCAAGGTGCCTTATTCTCTGTGGTGTCCACCACAGAGGCGTCATTCTGAAAACACTTACCTGTCTCGCTCTCAGCCCCTCTAATACTGTGCAGCCTTTTATCTGTTTCCTGAAACTCTGCCACCTGATGCAATGGATCATTAACCTGTGCACATCTTTCACAGGTATTTACCTTTTTTCCAGGAGAAGAGTCTGGGCACTCATTGCAACCTACTAACTGTATAAAGTCTCCTTCCTTACCAGTTCCATCTGGGTGGCAGTGCCAGACATCTCAGGGTTCTTCTCTGTAGAAACACTGGGTTAAAAAGGAGGCGAGTGCCCACCATTATTGCAGAGACCTCTTGAGCTGGTAGGGTGAATATGCGCTTCTGTGTGAACTGCTGCACCATGCTCTGTTCGCCAGTTCTGTTCACAGTGCTCCTGTTTGCTCATGCTCCCCAGGCTGCTTTTATAGGTGTGAGGGTGTCCATGATTGGTCTGGCAATGCCCAGGCCTCATTATCTTGTCTCACAAGAGCTTCTGGCTCCTGGTAGGGGGTCTCTGCTGCCCTGCTGTTTCTCTGCTTCAGGAAAACCACCTGTGTGCCGAGATCTGCCACTCTGCAGGGAGTCAGGCTGGCTTCAGAGCAGCTCCCTTTGGCAACTGACATGTGGGCTTCAGAAGACAACCTGGATATCCAGGCATAAGCAATAAAAATAATGGGCAAGTTAGTCAGCATCTCCAGCACAAGTCAGATTTTCTTAGATACTGCAGAGACAGGAATCATACCTTGGGCTGAAAAAGACCAAGGGTCTGCTTAATTAAAGTACAGCTTAGTCTCAGGGCTGAATGGTACTCCTGTGTTCGGTCTGTGAATCAATGGTCTCCTTCTGCCTCTGTCAGATGCTTTGTCTGACTCCATGTCAGACACTTTCGGTCTCTCCACTCAGCTAGCTGAGAAGGATCACTCAATTACAAGCCATCTGGGACCCTTCCTGTCCTTCTGCTAGCTGGGAGCCAGTGTCAAACTTGGCAGAGCCTTAGAGTTTATGGACATCTTAAGGATTAAACAAGATCATATATTTTGTGTTTGATGTTCCTAGCTAAGAGGTTTAAGGAGTGGGGGTTATTTGCCACATCCAGTCCTCTCACTCCTCCCCTTTATGGTCTTCTGGTGGTGGGTCACAGCAAATGGTGCCCGTGAGGTCAGGGCTTGGTGATGTGAAACCTGAACCCCTCTCCAGATTCAAGCCCAGGTTGACAGTGTGACCCTTCTTGAGGGCATCTTGTTGCCCTCAGTTCCTCTTCTTGTAGCCTAGAGAGAAGGTGTTGCAAGTCTTAATCAGTTGTTGTTTGTGTAGTTGTTGGAAGTTGCAAAGTTCCAGTATCACAGTTGGTGTTCCAGAAATGCATGCGTAGCTGGTGTCCAGCTTCCAACCCTCCCTCACTCAGTGCAAGATGAAGGAGATAACAGAAGGGACAAGCCCGTGTGAGTGTTGTATGGTGCTGAGGGGGAAAAGGGCAGGAGAGTGCATCGGAGAAGAATTTGGATTCCTAGTCATACTCTCATCAGTGAAAACATGCAAGACATCATGGACTAGGGAAAATCTTTAGGGAAGGCAAAGGAATCTGAACAAGGCATGGACTTAATTTTTGAGGTCACATACAGAAGCTGAAGGGAAAATAGGCTGAAATATGAGCAGGAGGAGAGGGAAAAGGAGGGTTCAGTGATGAAAAGAAACAGAATTAGAACAGCTTTGAAGGGTGATGAGAGGAGGAGAAGGAAAAAAAAGCGCCCTTCATTTTAAGATGGTTTATTGTCCTTGTGTTGAATCTGATTGGGAAGGGCTTCATGTTTCAAAGGCTTATTTGATGCTAGCAGGGACCACCCCCATTTGGAATACTGTGAGCCACTGTATTGAGCTTCCAGACAGAGCTGCTGGGCACCTGTGTGCAAGAGAAAGGGACAACCAAGGGGGCAAGCTGGTGAGGAAATGTCAAGGGCTGTGCACTGAGGGCAAGGCTGCTTGGACAAATAAAACAAGATGGGGTATTTGGTGAAAAAATGTCCACCTTTTCCATGCATGAGAGAGAGGGTCAGGTTATTGCCACCTTTTCTTGCCCTCTCCCCTTTGCTGGATAGGTTATATGGAGGAGGACACATGCATGAAGATAAGGGATCCAACTCTGTGTCAGAGCTGTTTGCTTGGAAAGGAAAGATAGGGAGAGGACACTGAGTCCTGTGTGGGTTCATACAGGAGGAACATGGTGCAAGGATGTCCATTGACAGGGATGCTTGTTGTCCAGGGGAAGCAGAAATCTTGAGCTGGTGCTTCCTCTCTTCCTGGGTTCTGCCCCACAGAGACCATTTCAGAGCAGCGCAGACATGTGGTCCTTGTTCAGAGATCAGACTCTCTGTTTTATCAGTGTCATATCACCGTTTACAGCTCTACAGGGAGTAGGCACCAATCAAAACATCATAGTTTTGAGAATGATTTTGAATGTGGTTACCAGCCCTTTTATGTATGAAATTCTCATCACATTGAAGCCCAGGTTTTATCCTAAGTGTAATTTACAGATCTCCTAGTGGAGATCCACCTGTAATTTCATAATATGTAACACTGAGAGTGAGATTTTTAGCTCCAGATCTCTCAGCACCAAGAAATATTTCCTCCATTTTACAAATAGAAAAACTGAGGCAAAGGAAGCTTAAAGGGAACATACAAAGGTGTAAAATAAGCCTTGGTAGACTTTTTTGGGCTTCTGTATGGAGAATAGGAAGAACTTGGGCATTTTTGTTTGTTTCTAAGACATTGGAGCAGTGGGTTGTGGTTGGTTTTGTATTCAAAATGGAAAGCCTACCTAGCTTGGAGGACAAATAAAGGTGCTAATATAATATGTCTAGTATCAGAAGAATAGAAAATGAGCAAGGAAGCACTGTTTTGTCAGACTATTTGGTGTCCGTCTTAAAGTCATTAGTTCTTGTAAACTTGTCTTTGAGTTTAAGAACTCATTCATTTCAGCAAAGTGCCATCTCCCTTGTGAATTAAGGTGTAAATGGTAGAAACAAATAAAATGCTCCGAGAATACTGACATATACTCCAAGAACTGAAGACCGTAAATAACAGTGCATTATTTTTCCAGTAGTAAAGGAGCAATCAGAGAAGAAAGCAACCAAACTACCAAACTAGTCCTCTGTCTTCCACCCGCTGTTTACTACAGGGGAGAGGGGAAAAAAAAAAAAAAAAAAAAAAACAAAGCCTTTGCAGACAACTTCTAAGCGACTTGCTAAAGGTCCCAAAGCCTGCCAAAAGCTGGGCTTGTGTTTCCTGAATTTCAGTTCAGAGCTCTAAATTCTGCATGGAAATGACATCGAGTGAGTTCTCAACCAGTGCTGCCTTTCTCTGAAATCCCTTCTCCATGGTTCCCATTCCTTTGTCTGCTTCCAGTCACTTTCACCTCCTCTATTATCTTACATTCCTCCTGCCACACGTTCTTCCTTGAGCTGACACTGGTTGTCCCTCCTTCTCCTTTGCTACTAGGTGGGCTCCTTCTTCATGATTAACTTGTGCCTGGTGGTCATTGCCACACAATTCTCAGAGACCAAGCAGCGGGAGCACCAGCTGATGCAGGAGCAGAGAGCCCGGTACCTCTCCTCCAGCACTGTTGCCAGCTACATGGAGCCAGGAGACTGCTATGAAGAGATCTTCCAATATGTTTGCCACATCGTGCGCAAAGCTAAACGCCGCACCCTTGGCCTGTACAACAGCATACAGAGCTGGCGCCAGGGCCACGTGGAGCCAAGCGATGCCAAGCTAGGCATGAACAAGAAAAGCCAGGGGCACTACAGTAAGGATTGCATGGGTAAATCTGGAAATGCCAATAGTGGAAATGAGAGAGTAGCTGGGAGCATCTCCATGTGCCAGCTTGCCAAAGGACCTGTTCCTACAAAACACAGAATTAGAATTAATATTGACCATTGAGCATGGGGCCATGGCCAGCGCACCAGACCAGCAAGGTGGGGTTGACCAGCAAGAATGGGAATGAAACCGGGGTGACCAGCAGGGAACATGGGAAACCCAGGTCTGAAACCCAGAGACCATAATGGGATAACATTGAAGGCACTGGCTGAAGCTTGTAAAGGGCTTCAGGTCTGGTATAGCAGGGTGATGATAGCAGTTGGGGAGAGAGAACTATTAAGGGGATATGATGGAGTGGGACTAAGGATTGGACTTGGTGACACAGCAGGTCCCCCAGAGCTCTCCTCCCAAACTGAGTTGATGTGGGACCTCAGGAGAGAGGCAAAGGGAATAGAATTGCAATAGGGTGTCTTCTGAACCAGAGGAGCAATACTGAAGAAGTCGGTTTGATATGCAAGATCAATGGCAACAATTTCTGTTGATGGGAGCACATGCTGCTGTTGTGTAAAATTAGACACAAGATACTATTTAAATTGGATTCCTGGCCTGAAAAGTGACTGTAAAAATGTTTTTATAGAGTTAATATTAACTGCCTGCCAATGTCTTTCCTATGTTATGCTCCCATTAACAAGCAAAAAGGTGGATTTTCCTTCAGCTGGTCTTGCATACTCAGTCTTTCATTTTCTTTACTTGCTGGGAGAAAAAATTCTTCAGGCTTCATGCACTGTGTTAATGATTTAATTGCTTCATTCCCTTGGTGTTCATTTGATCTTCCAGGCCCAACTGGAGGATCAAGGAACACAAATTTAGTTTTCTCACTGAAGTCAGGAGATACGTTCTGATTCAGAGTGCATGGACTATCATTTCCTGGACTCTTGAGATGCATTGCTAATAAAACTTCCCCAATTTAGAGAGTTCAGCTCAGCATATGAGTTCTTTGACCCCACTTGCAGCAGTTCAGGCCAAAAGCAGCCCTCGTTATCGTTCTTCCCTAAGTTCCCACTAACTCAAGCTACTGAGTCTCAAGCTGTGATTCCTGCATCAGACAAAACAGTTCTTCCTTCCTGGACATGAACCCCCCATTGAACCTAATCACTGACAGCTGAACAGTACCATGCCTTCTAGCCAGTCATTGTAAAGCCCTCAACAGCAATGGCTTTTATTGCTGCTCTTGAGATGATGTACCAGTGTTTAGTCATCCTTACAGCTAAAAAGCCCAGTTACCCTGTCTAAATACCCAAAAGCCAAACAGATGCCCAGTTGTGATGTCTTTCTCAAAGCCTTCTCTTTTAAGTGTGATCATTTTTCTCCCCAGGGCTTTGCCAGCAGCATAACTCTCTTGACTGCCCTCCTCAGGGCTTGGTCCAGCCCATTGCTGTGACAGCAACCTCTGATCCCACCAACTGCCCCCAGTGTCATAGAGGGGAGCACGAAGTATCCCAAAGGCTCTCTGTCCTGGATAGTGCTGACTCAGAGCAGGATGGAGGAGCCAGCGAAGAGGAGGGGGAGGGCAGCAGAGAGGACCAGGGTGCCTCGGCACTGGAGAAGGAAGAGGAGAGAGTGGAAGGCGGTGGACGGTTGAAGCTCTGCAGTGACATGTGGCGAGAAGTGAGGGTCAAGCTTCGAGGGATTGTCGACAGCAAGTACTTCAACCGTGGGATCATGATCGCAATTCTAGTAAACACTATCAGCATGGGCATCGAGCATCATGAGCAGGTAAGTCTTCTCAGGGCATAGAGTGGGCAGCAGGAACTGGTGAGCCCTGCTTGGACTTATAGCCTTTCTAAGCAGCTGATGCAACTTGGTAGCAGAGACTGAGAAATTGGGACCCCAGGCCACAGCACAGATGGTCCCAGTATGGCTTTGGAGAAAACCTCAGGACCTTGCAGGGTCTTTTCTTTCTTACCCCTGCACTTAATCACTTACAGTGTCCCATGTATTTTCCTCTCAGCTCTTTTCAATCCCTTTCTTTTCCTCCCTGCTCACTGTTATCCCTCTGTTTTTCTTTTTTACCTGTCTTCTCTTTCCATCTGCTTCTGTTTCCTTCACCCTCATCTCTTCCATCTTCCTCATCTCTCTCATTTCTCTCTTCATTAGCTTACTGAATCTTTAGTCTATTTGCTTAATTTAATGTGCCCTCTGGGGATGTCACAGGCACTCCACCAGCATCTCAGTTCAAATCCATCAACTTGCTAGCCTTTCCAGTTTAATTAATAGATGCCTGAGCACAGTCTATCTATACCAGAAGCCTAGGGTAGGCACCACCTCCCATCTCCAGTCATTTTGGGGACTCAGATGGCTTGAGCCTTTCCCTTGACCTGACAGCAAGAAGTGATAGATAGGTCAGACATAGACAGCAGGTGTAGGCACAGGTTGGATTTTCATGCCAATAGTTTTCAGGCAGCTCTGAGTCAGCAGTGCACTTTATCCTAATGACAGACTTGCAAGATGGATAAGGATTGTGTGCCCTCATTTTATAGCTGGGAAACAGAGGCTGTGTCTACTTTGTGATGTGCAGAGCCAGCTTCAGAGGGTGTTAAGCATGCCCGTGACCTTACATCTGCATTGCCAGCCGGTAGCTCTGTTGCACTTTATGTTAAAGGAGTCCATGCTGTACACCCATGTCTCAGATCTATACCGCCAGTCTGAATGTGACCATGATTCACTCCACGTGTGCCCAGATCAGAAAAATAAGAGTTCACTCCACTACTGAGATGCTGACTGCATGGAAGCTTTGGAGACAAGGTGAAGTCTAATCCTGAACACGGTCTCAGGCAGCAAAGAGACAAGCAGTGAATCTGGTTCAAGCAAGACACTCAGCTTTGTCCTGTGCTGTATCAGGGTGGAGGTCTTGAGACCCAGAGTATCTTAAATTCCCTGTTTGAGGCAACACAGTGTCTGAGCCAGTATTTAAAGCCTCAGATGTCTGGATCCCACCCACATACCAAGCATTACACCAGTTTTCAAAGCCCAGCTACTTTCTGATACAAGGATGAGAAACCTTAATTTGATCCCAGAACTGCACTGGATGCTTCAGTACCAGAAAAATACTGGCAGGAGCTCAGAGGAGAATGAAGAAGAGGCTGGAGGGGCTGACTCATGAAAATAGATAAAAAAGAGCAATGTATTTATCATGTAGCAGAGAGATGAGTAAGGGTTGAAGCCCAGGACAATATGAAAATTGCCCACTGATGTTTTAAAGATGTGAGCATCAAGCAGGGAGACTCATTGTTCATTTTGGTTTATTGGAGACAGCATGAATTAAGAGTTTATCAGAAGAATATTTGAGCTGGAGGTAGAGAATTCACTCTCATGTTTTGGCTATTGTGAGTGCGGATTTAAGCCCTTCTAGGCTGCCTCTGCTGTGTTTGTACAGCCCACAGCAGAGTGGGATCTGCCTGCAGCCTTGAGGCTTCTAGTAGCAGGTTATTAATGATACATCCCTACATTTATGCTATTGCTTTTTATCCATAAGTAGCTAGGAAAAGCTTATGACCCTGCATGCTGTTTCTACTAGAAACAGATGTCAGACAAATTGATCATAACTGAAAAATGTGGTGCAGTCTGTTTATTTAAAATATATATACTGAATCCTGTTTCCCTGGCACAAGATAAAAAAAATAAAAAATATTCAGACTATACCATGAATTCCGGGTTCTTTTCAGTCAGCGGTTAACATGAGAACACACAGGCATTTGCACTTCCCTTTGCTCTCTTCATTTTTTCCTTAAGTCATGCTATCAGTACATGATACAGTCTGAGAGACTGGTGCTTCATTGCCTCGTTTTTCCTTCTTTCTTTCTTTCTCTTTTTCCTGTTGTTTTTCCTCCCAGAAACACAATTTTTCACAGAACAATATCTAGCAAAACCCCTCTGCCCAGAGATCTGTGATTTGCAGGGTGATGCCATCCTATGTCTGAAGTCGATTCTGTTGCTTCAGCTGCTTCATCATATGAATGTCTCCTGGCCTAGAGCTAATGCATACAGAGACCTCTCAAGGTTTTATTTTCTGGTGCATGGGAGATCACAATCCCAGCCACTCTCTAGGGATGTATCTGGCTGGGCAGAAGGATTTGTGAAGGTGTCACAGGTTTGAACAGTACTGGGAGCAGCTCATGGCACATCCATCAGCTCCTCACTGCTCCACTGTTTAGGGACTACACACAGGTGAGCTGGCCTGCTGACCAAAGCAACCACCACCCATCAGGTTAAGGGGTGAGAGAGACTGCAGGAGCCAGGCACAAGGTTCAGGTTTAAACGCACAGGGACCTGGGGGACAGAGCCCATGTGCGAGTCTTACCTTTGATTCCTGAGCCTTAACCAACAGAAAGAAAAACACGTTATTATCTGTTTGTTACAATTCAGGGGTTTAATATTCACAGTGTTCTTGAGCCAGGAGACTTAACGTCAGCAACTCAAACCACTTTACTTGGATCCAAATCACCTTGGAATTTGGCTTTGTTTAATTTATCCATCCAGTCCCTTGTCCTGTCCTGTCCTGTTTATGTGGCCAAGACAGCTTCCCATCTACTTATATGTTTCTTGTGAGGGAAATCAACTCATTTTGGGACAAACTGCACTGCTATTAGTCATTTTTAATCCTTAAATTTATCACAAATTTTCACTTGTAAATAGATGTTTATTCAAATCCATTAGTGTGCATTATACCATGTAATATCCTCAGTTTTAGGCCTTCAGATATTGCTGGGACACTGCACAAGCCAAAATCTATAATTTCAAGATTTGTCCTGCTTGAAATAATTTTTGCAGTTCTCCAGATCTGTTTCTACTTGGTAGTGTCTATTTTTAAAATCCAGTGTAGAAAATCAAGATATTAGATGCTTGTGGCTGTCCGGAAGGATCCTCTTAAGAGGCTTACTTTTTAAAATATTCACAGAGGATCTGGTGCTGCTCGCTTTTCTCCTTTATTCAGCATGAGAATGAAGAGCTGGTCCCAGCTGCATGTCCCAGGCTGCCTTTCTCAGGTATTTCTCGAATGACCTGTTGGACTCAAGCTTCTTTGCCATTAGTAGCCTAAGGGAATTGCTGAGTAACTTGGTTTATCTTCTCCAGTATCTACTTAGAGTATTCCTTCATATATCAGATCAATACTTTGAGTTCTGTCTTGTGTGGATCTGGAGATGATCCCTTGTTTCCTAACTAGACCAGCCCTGTGGATTGGTACCTTCATATCCTTTAGCCTGTGTGATTTCCCTTTATACCATCATTTATTGCATCCACAATTTACAGTTATTGCTTCTCTTTTTGCTATTTGCTGCTTGACAGAAACATTCAGCCAATGTCCAAGTCAGCTCATCATGCTGACATTTCGTAGATGATGGAACAGTCTCCCTGGGGTGTTAGATGAAACCATATTACTTCAGTCTTGTAAAACTAGGGTATAACAAAACATCATGAAAATATGCATTGGTTGTGGGGTGGTGATTAGAATAAGTAAAAGCCAGTTGATATGTTCCATGGCTGATGTCTATGACTCTTCTGTTTATTTCAAATGACTTTGAAATGGTGAGTAAAAATGGACAGCTGGAGAGACCTCTCTATGGAATATTTCTCTCTCATGTTCTCAGAGGCAGTGATGTGCAGCTACTATTTGGTAGGGCTGGTCTGCATAGATCACATCAGTTACTCTTCTGTTTCTAGACAGTTGCAAATTTACTCCTGGCTAGGAGAAGCTTCTCCTGCAGGGGCTTCATGGTGGTCTGTGTATTCTTAACCTTTCCTATAGTGCAGGAGTTTCTGACTGCTGTCAGATAATGGACTAATTACATTTTCAGTCTTATCTGACATAAGAACTCCAATGTTAGTTAGTAAGTAAATGAAAAGGGGGGAAAAAAGCTGAGACACTGCCCTCTGTTACCACAGTTCTAGTTTCTGATCACTGGGTAGGAGCTCTGAGGTAGATCTGAATCATACATTTCACTCTCAGTATTTGATCTACATTGTTAAGGATGAAGGACTTTGTGCCATGAAGATGTGAATTAGGTAGTTTCATGGATTTGGATTTGGCAAGAGATCTATACCCAGAGTAGGTGAATCACAGAGTGGTTAATACACTGGCTCTGGGTGTGTTTTGCCCCCTTGGATCTCTCTCCTCTTCAAGCCACCCTCCTCACCCCAACACTCAGCTCCCACAGTTTTGTTCAAATTTCTCTCCTAGTGTAAACCTAGTGTAAACCATGGCTTGGCAACGTGAGCAGACTTCTTGTGGGGAGATTTCTGGTGTTCCCTGGTTCTGCTTGGACTAAAATAGCCTCGAATTCAGGCCTTTACTTGTGAACACTTCAATTAACAGTTTCTATGTAAACCTGGGTGGCCTGGGAGGAGGAAGCCTTGCTAATAGTTTTAATGATAAATGCCCGAGTGCTGTCTGGGAGCCTGGGGAGTTCTCACAGCTGTGAGGTGACACATCGGTTGTGTTGGGGATCCCATGTGTTGGTAGGAAAAAGAGGAGGGAACCGCTTCTTCCCTGTACACTTTCCCCCTTCATCAAGTTCACATTTCCCTGGTCAGAGAGTCCCAGCCCCAGCCTTATCCACTGTCACTCATGGCCACACTGCCCTACATGTGAGGGTATCCCCACACAGGACACAGTCCGTGGTGACCCCCACCCTGCAGCCCTGGCTGCCAGCTGAGGGCTCTTTGAACTCTGCCGAATTATCTGTATCTCCAGAAATGGCTGCAAAGGAGGATCTGCCTTTAGCCAGTGAGCATGCCTCATCAGTTATCTCCTCTCTCTTTTTCTCTTATTTTTTTTCTAAATTATTCCTTTTGTATTGCTCTTCCTTGCCCAGCCTTTACTTCTTTCCTACTCAGTTTGTAAAAATCTCTCCTTCTCTACTTCTTGTGAGTGCCAGTGAGTTTATTCTTTTTTCAGCTTTGTTTCTTCATTCCTCTTTTGCTGCCTTTCTCTCTGCCCATCTCTCCTTCCTTTCCCTGCCTAGTCTTTCCTGCCCCTCTCTCTAGGAAAGATGCTTTGCTGGGGCTGATTGATGGCCCATTAGAAAAAGATTAACAGGTGGAGGCTTGATTAGAGAAACAGATGTCAGGGAAGGAAGGAGAGACAGGGGAACAGGTGACCTTTTCCACAAGTGAGATGCAAGCATGGCTTTTCAAACATCAATTGCTCCCTAGGACAGCACAAGAGGGAACATGTGGACAGCAGAGAGGAAGATAATCCACCATCACAGCCTGTCACTTTTTTACATTGCTCATTCTCACTGACATAATAATTTGATTCAGGCTGAAATTGGCATCTCTGTTTAGCATATGGACCTCACGTTCCAGCAAGTGTCATTACTGCCTGGCTCTTGGTGAAGTGATCTTCATCTCTCCCTTCCCATGTGCACTTGCTCGTTCTTTCTCTCTCTTTTTTCCTATCTCCTCTCTTCACTTCCCCTCATTTTCAGGGTGGTTTTGTTATTCAAATGTAATTACAGATGGAAATTGAGCCATCTCCCCTTTTTTTGATTTTAAAGAAAGGGAGTATTTCAATAAAAAGCTGCAATGAGGAGTGCAAGAAATTAGAAAAGAGCATGGGAAGACACAGATGTGAGGAGCAATTTCTAGTCCATTTGCTCACTTGGAAGGATCTGGTCCCCTAGGGGTCAAAGCATCCCCCAGCTTCAGGGGGAGGATCAGACCCAGAACTGCATTCCTCCCTCACTTCCCCTTCTACCAGCTGAATAAGTAACAGGCACAGCCAACACAAAGGTTGCCCTTCAGAAAAACAACAATTTTGCAGTTGTCAGGGAGAGACTGTGAATCCTCTTCCTAGTGTGCACTAATACTGAGTTCATGATAAAAATATTGGCTCTGACCTGCAAGAACTCACTTTTTTTGTTTCTGCAGTGCCAGGAATGCCTGTCCTGCCTTGTCCTGAACAACAGGCTTTTGCAGTTTTCTTGTTCCCATCCATTTTATGTGATGCTTAAAAGAGTGGCCTGGTGGCCAGACATATCTCAGATCATCATATATGAAGGAAGAGGGGAGTCTTCAGCCACCTTGTCGGCATGGGTCACCAAACAGTAAGAGTAGTACTGCCTGCTACCAGAGACTGGGTCAGACTCACCTCGAAGGCTTGAAGCTGGGCTCAGCGCTGCAGTAGGTTAAACCTCAAATATGTAACCTTGTCTGAGGTCTGACATAATTGTCCCAAGGTAGACATGGAAATCTGAGCCAGAGGAGCCCTGAAGAAGTGCCTTGGAGCTGCTGTGCCTTGTCCCTCTGTTTGGGAAGGTGGCACACCTTCATCTGGAGCAGGTCCCCACCAGCTGCTGCTAGGGGAGGTGATGACCAGCTACAGCCAGGTGAATTGCCCTAGCAGTCTCATGTGGTCTGAAGGCCATGGGTTGCCTAGAATGGCCCCAAGACACAACCTATTATACTGGGAGGAAGTTTTTCTCTCACTTTGCCATTGCCATGGTAGTCTCCCTGGGCTATGTATGTGTGTGCCTAAGTAGGTGCAAACATGGGCAGGCTTGTGTATGTGTTGCCCCTCATGCATCTGACTTTGCTCAAGACCTCAGCCCTTGCTGTTTGTCCTGGGGCACTCCTAGTCTCTGGGTGAGAGGTGATCTGAGCAGATGAGTCCATGCTGAATTCACTGTGCAAATTCCTCCTTTTCACAGGGGATGGCATCCCTCATCAATGACATAAGTGCAGCCTCTGACTCTCTCTGAAGCATTATCATTCCTGAGGAAATGGTCTAGGCCCTTTCCTGACCTTGTCAGAGAAGTTTCCAAGGCTGCACACACTGAAGAAAAAGTAATTAATTCAGAAAACAAAAGGAGGAGTAATTTAATTTGCTCAGACTTGTTCCACTGAAGAAATCATTAAAACACTTTCTCTCATATGCACAAACACATTGGTCTCTGCTGGAGAAGGCTGTATCACTGTGGCTGAAAAATGTGTCAGAGATTCAACAGAAAAAATGCCTGAGGCAGGGTCAGGTTGCCTTTTTTTTTTTTTTTTTCTTTCAACACAGTCATCTTGTGTCATCCCTGGAGATTTTCAACTTGTGCATCTGCCTTTCTCCTCTCACTGTCCATTTTCCTCTTTTCCTCACCCTGTCCTGCTCCTCCTGTCCCTTACAGATAGGTGTTAGCAGTTTGTCCCTCCTCACTGTTGTCTTATTTATCCAGTCTGATATTCACTTGGGTAATTCTTAAGACCACTCTGAGGATAGAAGCATGAGAAAAGACTTCTAGAGCAAGACTGGAAAACTAATGCATACAAAGGATTTGGTGAGGAGTGGGAAAGAAAAAAGTGGGGAAGGGAAAAAATAGAGGGGAAAAGGGCAGAGAAGTGCAGTGATGTTCAGAGAAAGATGAGGAGCTGTTTTCTATCATTCAGATGTTTTCAGAATTTCAGCAAAAACTTGTGCCATCTACCTGTGGAAACCTCAGAAAACCAAATCCTTGAAGAAAGAGATTGACCACAGATCAGCCACTTTTTCTTGCTTAAAAAAAATATACTCAAGTTCTTTGCACAAAGTAAAGCAGCCTTTAGCCAGGGGACAAGGATATGGGGTGGGATGTGGGAGATGCTTGGTCAGTTTTGGCTGTGTGAATGGCTGTAGGGCTGCTGGTCATATCTAGTAAAAGCATTTGTTAAGGACATAATTGATGATGACGGTAGTAAATGTGCAAAGGAATTGGAGAGTAAGTGGCTCTTTCCAGCTCTGCTCTAATCTCACCCATGGGAGATTTGCAGCTCCCTACAAAGCCTGTCCCTTGGGAATGGTGGAACTTTATTTCCCATAATTTCAGGGCTCTTTCCATTCTGAATTTCTGAATTTCCCTTCTCTCCAGCCAGAGGAGTTGACCAACATCTTGGAGATCAGCAACGTTGTCTTTACAAGCATGTTTGCCCTGGAGATGATCCTGAAACTTGCTGCTTTTGGTCTCTTTGATTACCTCCGCAACCCCTACAACATCTTTGACAGTATCATCGTCATCATCAGGTGACAAGGGCCTTGGGGATCAACTGAAATATACATAAAAAAGAGTACCAAGAGCTTGCAAGTTTTCATATGCCTTTTCAAAAAGGATTTAGCAGCCATACTAGAAGTAGCTGAGCTGATGCACAAGGCCAAGGACTAGGAGACCAAGATGTCTTTTTCCATCACTTGGTGACCCTAGGCAAGCCACAAATAATTTCTGCCCTTCAGTTCTCTCCTCTGTAGAATGGAGGCAATTGTATTTGCCTTGCAAATCCACAACAAATACTGGCTGTGAAATATTTTAAAAATACACAAATTAAGGATGCTACAAATGTTTGATGTGTGATAGAAGAACTTGTCTTGCTGGAATTTAATGCTGCCTTTCCTCATTCCTGCAACATGCCATGTTCATGTTCTTAAGAGATAAATGTACATAAGTACACATAAGTATAAGCCTATAGTATATACTTCTTAATTATGTCTTGCTCAATCAGATTTTCTCTCTGAGCACTTTACACTTGCTGCTAATGCAAAGGTGAAAACTTAGATTAGTACTGTTATTGCTCTCTCTCTCCTGTTCATTCACTTGTCTTTCATTTTCTCCCTTGTGCTCCCTGGGCCTCTCTGGGCCTTAGCATCTGGGAGATCATTGGCCAGTCGGATGGGGGCCTCTCTGTGCTGAGAACTTTCCGTCTCCTGCGGGTGCTGAAGCTGGTGCGTTTCATGCCCGCATTGCGCCGCCAGCTTGTGGTGCTGATGAAAACTATGGACAACGTAGCCACTTTCTGCATGCTCCTCATGCTCTTCATCTTTATATTCAGGTGAGGAGGCACTGAGTTGCCTTAGAATGTTTTGGAGAGGCACTGCCATGGCTCACATGGACAGCAGCTTCAGAGCACGGCCACGTGACTTGTCTTGCCCACTGCTTTAGTCTTAGGCAGCACTGACAAATGTTTATTTGTTCATAAGGGCTGAGGTTACTGCTGCTCTAAATTGGGTTCAGCAGCTGAAGATTTAGACTGGATGGGCTGGAGAAATACTGCCACCAAATGCGCACATTGAGCATAATGTCCCATTGCAGGATAGGTGAAATCTCTTGATAATCAACATTGGCTGCAGGACCTGGAGTCTGGAGGCTGACTCTGGCAGAAGGGCAGCAGAAAGCAACCAAAAAAGTTTGCCAGTGCATCTACATAGATGCAGTGGTAGGGAGACAAAGAAAAATCAGACTAAATAAGAACAATGGAGTGAGCAGATCTGAAGGGTTGGAGGGAATACATGAGCTTGGAGGGGGTACAGATGGAAAGCAAGGGGTTTTGGTGAACTACAGGCGTGCAATATATAGCTCCTTCTTTACAGATAGGTCCCAGTGGTCTGGCTGTGTTGTTCTACCCCTTGCTCCTGTGGTGTTCCATGAAATTGTTGGGAGAAAAAAAGAGATGAGCTCATTGGTGTGGCAGAGATATTTGACACCATCTCCACTTCTTGTCCTAACAGCATCCTGGGAATGCATATCTTTGGTTGCAAGTTCAGCCTCAGGACAGACACAGGAGATACAGTTCCTGACCGGAAGAATTTTGACTCCCTGCTGTGGGCTATCGTCACTGTCTTTCAGGTGAGCCGGCTTTGCTCTCTATGGGTCAGGGCAAAGTGAAGAGGATCAGGAGGCACTTTTACTCATGGCAGAGTGTCATGCTCACTCCTGATAGCACAAAAGGCTGCACAAAATGCTCTAGCATGTGATGTTTGGAGAAAGATCAATTGCATGTTGTAACCAAACAACTCGTGTATCTCTCAGGCAGGGGCACTCCTTCCTTCCTAGGAGACAGTTTGCAAAGGTCACTTCTATTGTAGCAACTCCCATGTTTAACACCATGACCTCAGTACATGGCTGCCCTCATGGTTGCTCTAATTTCTTCTTGCTCAGCTAATGTTATCAGGGCAGTACCACAACTAGACAGTGACAATGAGCAGTTGGGTGTGTGGTTATGGGGAAGTTAAGAGGCCTGATGTGTATCCTTTCACTGTCCATTTCTGAGAATCCCCTTCACATTTTTCCTTCATGTTTATGTGGCCTCTACTCCTGGTTGCAGATCCTAACCCAGGAGGACTGGAATGTTGTGCTTTATAATGGCATGGCCTCCACCTCACCATGGGCATCCCTCTACTTTGTGGCTCTCATGACATTCGGCAATTACGTGCTCTTCAATCTGCTGGTGGCCATTCTCGTGGAGGGGTTCCAGGCTGAGGTGAGTTGCCACCAAGGCCTCATCAGGAGGAAGAGAAAAGCTGCTAAAGAGGTGACATTTGAGATACTTCGAGGGTACTGGGGTGGACGACTCCCAGAGCATCACACCTCTGTCATTTCCCTTGTTAAGTTCAGAGTGGGCCTCATTTAAAAAAAAAATAAAAATAAAATGACTGTGTTAATCCTTGCAAGGAAAGGGAGTTCGCAATTTCCATCCTGTGCAGATCCTACCCTACTATCATGAGTCCTTTGCCCCTCCAAAAGCAAGAACACAGTATGTCAGCCATCCCAGGTCACACAAGACTCTTTCCCGTGATGACACTGATGCCTGGCTGCCAAGGAGGATTTTACAGTTATTCCAGCAATGAAAGATAAAGACAAATGGTGTTTTCTGTGTATGAGTTCACAGCTTCTAAATTTGTGTGTTCCAGGGTGATGCCAACCGGTCATACTCAGATGAAGATCAGAGTTCATCAAACATGGAGGAGTTAGATCAGTTCCAAGAGGTCCAAGAAGGCTCAGGTACAGTAGCTCAAACAGCCTCATTTCCTTATCCTCCACTGCTGTTTAGTGAGAAATCGGAAAGCAGATTCTGCAGAAAATTCACTCTCATCTCCAAGAACTTACTGGTTTTCATTTTGAACTTTATGCTAGTTTGTGGCATTATCTGTGGAAAAATAGAGCTGTGCTGGCATCCCGAGGAATGTGATAGCTAAGGGGAGCGGTTCTTCAGTGACCTACAGAACAGCAACTAGGACCAAAAACTGTCTCTACTTAGCTTCAGGGGCACCATTTCAGGAACACTGTGTCCAAATCTAGGACTCACATTTGGATAGGGGATAGCAACACATTAAAAAGAACTCAGACAAATCTGGAAGTCTTGCCTCATAGCGAGAGGCTAATGAAGCTTAGAGAAACTAGAGAACTGACTTGATCACACACTCTGTAAGTGCCAACCATAAAGAGAGGTTTCTGGTCATAGATGGCTCTTTAATTGAGCAGAGAAAAGCATAATGAGATTGTAAATGTTGGAAGCCGAAGCTAGAAAAATTCAGACTTTAAGAAGCCACATATTTTTAAGGAAAGATAATTAACTGTTGGAACAGTCTGCCTACAAACTGCCAGGTAGGGTCTCCACCCCTCGAAGTCTTTCCTTGAAGACTGCAAGTCTTTCTACAGGAAGTATTATACTTCAGAAAGGACTTGGTGGCGAAGAGCAGAAAGAGTAGCTCGCTCCCAATGGATTGCAAGGAGCTAAGAGGGAAGGACAGCCAGGTGGGAGGGCGGGGACCACACTGGCAAAGGCACAGTACTCATACAAGGTGAGCAGAGCAGGTCCGCTGACACTAGCCAGGTTCAGCCAATGGTTCAGTGATTGCCAGGAAAGTCCACAGTGATGAGGTAGGTCTGAGGTCAAGCCAAGAAGTCCAGTCAGCAAGACAAGATCAGGATCAGCAAGGTGTAAGGACAGGCACAAGCATACTCACAGCTTAACCCAGACAAGGACCACAGGTGCAGATCTGAGCTTAAATGCAGCTCCCACAGCAAGGAGCAGTGTTGGCTTATCACAGCTCTTTCCTGCAACTAAGCTGTTCTTGCAGCAGTCTGATCCTGGTTTACATGGCTGTACCATATCAGAGTTTGAATGTAGGCAACCAAACCCCTAGGAGGGCAGATGGGGAAGAGGTTAGAGAGTCTGTTGGTGCATTCATGGCAGTGACACTGAATGCAGGAGATTATATGTGATCTTTGTTATGCAATGAGTCAAACAAAAATGATTGTTCCAATCCTTTCAGGCATTAAAATCCAGTAACACATTCTCTCCATCCATCTCGACAAATGCTGATGGTCATCCATGGCACCTAACATACCTCTCAAAGGTGTCCTGGATCTTCAAGGTCAATGATCAGTCATTTGAAGAGGGCCAATGTAATAAGATAGACTGAGATAAAGACTATGGCTGCAGGTCTCCCCCCATCTTAGTCTCTTCTTCAGTGTCTCAGCCTAACTGCTTTAAATAGCCAGTCTGAGAGACAGTGGTATTCGTTCAGACCTAAAGATGCAGGTGTCTTCCTGGCATGCAGAAGCACACTGTTCTCCCCTTGGTGCCAGGATTTGACTTCTTGCTCTGCCTGTCAGCCTGAGTCTGCCTGACAAGCACTCCACTTGTCTCTCTGGCCCCAAAGAGAGCTGCCATCAGTTTTGGGGACTGAGGAAAATACTTGAAAGTCTTCCCAGCTTGCACTGCTTTTGTCACAACACCCTAAATCAGAAGGAATCGATGTTGATGCTAAACAGCTAGTATTCTGTTAGCAGCTGCTAACATGCTAAACAGCTTAGTCATTGACAGAGTCACTGCATAGTGAGGAAACCACCATCTTCTTTTCTTTCTGCATATTTCCACATAGATCCCAAGCTGTGTGCAATTCCTGTGACACCTAATGGACACTTGGACCCATCCTTGCCTTCTTCCAACCTACCAGTGGCTGCTGGCGGTGTCACCAACTCTTCACGCAACTCCCTGCAGCCTGACCAGATCCTTGTTGCTGTTGGGTCCCGGAAGAGCAGTGTGATGTCCCTGGGGAGAATAACCTATGACCAGCGGTCCTTGGTGAGTGAGTGAGTGAGTGAGTGAGTGAGTGAGTGAGTGAGTGAGTGAGTGGATATGTGTGTTGCACCTTCTTTCAACATCCAAGCACACTTCTGTCTTTCTGCCATCATCAGGGGATTGCTGTGGAGGATTGCACTGCTGCTGTAGGCTTCTAACACGGGCACATTGCCTGTCTTTTGGAAGCCAGGTCAGTTCACATTATTGTACTGGTTTTGGCTGAGATAGATTTAATTTTCTTCACAGTAGCTAGTATGGAGCTACATTTTGGATCTGTGTTGAAAACAGTGTTGATAACACAGGGATGTTTTAGTTAATGCTGAGCAGTGCTGACACAGTCAAGGCCTTTTCTGCCTCTCACCCCACCCCACCAGTTAGTAGGCTGGGGGTGCACAAGAAGTTGGGAGGGACACAGTCCGGACAGCTGACCCCAACTGACCACGGAGATATTCCATACCATATGACGTCATTCTCAGCATATAAAGCTGGGGTAGAAGAAGGAAGAGGAGGTGTTCAGAGTTACAGCATTTGTCTTCCCAAATTACATTACATGTGATGGAGCCCTGCTTTCCTGGAGATGGCTGAATGCCTGCCTGATGATGGGAAGCAGTGAATTAATTCCTTGGTTTGCTTTGCATGCGTGCACGGCTTTTGCTTTACCTATTAAACTGTCTTTATCTCAACCCACGAGTTTTCTCACTTTTACCCTTCTGATTCCCTCCCCCATCCCACCAGAGGGGAGTGAGCAAGTGGCTGTGTGGGACTTAGTTGCCGTCTATTTCCAGGTTATTGATCTATATTCCATTGAGTGTGGGATTCGGTGCTTTTATATTCTTCTGATGAGAGAGAGGGAACATTAAGAAGACAGAGTCTCCCTCTTAGAGTGAAACATGTTTTGTCCTCTTGCCCTTTCCTTGTTTTCCTAGACCACAGGACACAAAATTATGCCCTTCCTTAAGAGCAGAGGAGTATCTGGGTGATGCCAGAGCTTTCAAGTCCCATAATAGATGTTTTTTCTAGAAATTTTTGTAACAATGAAGAGAGATATCTTGAGTTGGAGCTCCCCATAGCAGGTCCTGCTGCCCCTTAGCACTTTCCCAAGCACTGCTGGCTGTCCAGCCAATGCATCTCAGACTTGTCCATGTTGTAACATCAGCTTCTGGGCTTTCTACCCACTGACACACACAGCTTTGGGGGAGTGCATTGGTGCTCAATGTTATTGTGCCCCTGTTATTTCTCAACAGGGCAAGCTGGCAGCTGTGTACTACATGATATCTTGCCAATATGGTTGAACTAGACTATAACCACCAGTCTGTTTCTCTCATTTCTTCCTTTTACGAAGACTGTACTCAAAGTTGGTGTGTCAGATTATCCATCACCCTGTACCTTGTGTTATCCTTTACCCTAGGGCAGTGTAAAAAGCTGCCAATCAGATTTTTTGAGAGCTTTATTCTTGCTCTCTGCTGGTGTAAGTAACAATATCAGGCACTTGGCCTTTGGCTTTATTATTTACCTTCCCCATAAGTGCTTTGTGCACAGATGGTGCTCTAAAGTAATCACAGCCAACACCATTGCTAGCTCATTATCAATTTATTGTCAGATTTACAGAGATTGCTGCTAAATTCCCACCATGCTACTTCCTCAATGGCTGAAAAATGGCAGCTTCCTGGCTTAGGGGCCCAGGGAGAAGTCTGTGATATGAAATAGGATCGCATGCTCGCTCCTTATGCCCAGAATCACTGACTCCCCATCCCACTCTCTTACAGTCCAGCTCCCGCAGTTCCCACTATGGTGCCTGGGGCCGCAGCGGAGCCTGGGGGAGCCGTCGCTCCAGCTGGAACAACCTGGCCCGGGGACACAGCCTGAAGCACAAACTTCCCTCTGCTGAGCATGAATCCCTCCTGTCTGGGGAAAGGCACAGGGCAGCAGATGGGGAGACGAATGGGACAGGAAGGGTTCTTCATCACCGCCGGACGCTCTCCCTGGACAACAAAGGCTCCTGTGACCTGTTGGAGTTGGCCTCGGTCCCATCTGGCCACAGAGTGACCCATAAGATGAGACCAGCATCCGGGGCCAGTGAGCATCAAGACTGCAATGGTAAAATGCCCAGCATTGCCAAGGAGATCTTCCCAAAGATGAACAACCGCAAGGAACGAGGAGAGGATGATGAAGAGATAGATTATGTGAGTACTTGGTGGAGGGAACCTGGGATTATAACACAGTGCTTTGGGAAACCTCAAATTCATCCTCAAGTTTCAGTCTCCCTGCCATGGATGGGAGACCTTGCAAAGGTGCTTTAAGTACAGCTGGAGGACAACATTGAACAATAAGATGAGAGCTTCTAGGCCCAGACAAGCTCAAGCCACATTGTCAGGCTGCCTGCAAGGCAGTCATACTGATGGATGGTGGGAGGAAGGCACATGTGAGGCATGTGCATGGTCATACGGGAGCTGTTATTTCAGAGCAGTGCAGCCAGTGATTTCTTCAGACTAGGAAAGGTCAGGCTGTGTGAGCAGCAAGAGCTTTCTTTGCATGAGGAATATCAGCAGATCAGAGTGGGAAACACAGGCACAAGCGACAAGGCAAGTGAGTTTTGCAGTGCCAGCCTGGGAGACCACAATGCCCAGCCTCTGAGCAGATCAAAATTGAAAATACATATATGTTGTATGAAATTAAATTGTTTCCAAGACTAACTGCCAAGAGAAGGCCTTCCTGTCCTGTCCTCTTATTTAGCTGAGGTGGCGAGGAAGCACACTCCTCATTAAGAGAGCCACTGCAACAGCTCTGAGAAAGTATCATGGACAACATCCTGCTGTAGAAAGAACACCAGCAGTTTTATTTGTAATGATGTGGGGAAGAGACCAGATGCTAAGAGGTAAACAGGCCCTGGCAAAGCAGCTCCTACCTCCTTTTCAGTGGCTTGTTGCTCTTTGAGTCCATTTCCTCGTTTGGGGGCTTAAAGGAGGGCAGGTAGTGAACCTGGCAAACTGCAGGTAGTGGTGTTTTGGGGTCAGATGTGAAAGGAAGAGTGCCTTTCTCAGGCAAGTGGGAAGGTAACCAGTGGCACTTGCTTCTGCTGCATCCCTCCAGAGCCTGTGCTTTCGCATCCGGAAGATGATGGAAGTCTATAAGCCAGACTGGTGTGAGTTACGGGAAGACTGGTCCATATATCTCTTCTCTCCACAAAACAGGTTTGTGCAGTTTTTGCCATTAGAGGATTGAGAAGATGGGGAGGATTCTATTGCCATGCTGGCTACATGCCCTAAGCTGCATGTTAGGTTGCAACTTTAAACTTATCAGCTGGGAATATGTTTTGACTCCTCCATTTCCTCTTCTACAGCCTTCTGGAGATGAAAGAAAGGATGAGAATCCTAAGTAGCTATTGTGACTTTCCCTCCCTTTGGAGCATCCCATTTTTCTTTTGTGTAATCATAAATATTTATAGCAAAGCAAGGCAGGGAATGCTAACATTAACCCAAAAAGGAGAAGGAATGTATTATTAATGACTCCATAATACTGATATTTCCTCCCCTGGTACCAGAAGAGTCTCTCCATTTCATTTTCAGTCCCAGTACCAACTTATCAGCAGTCATATCACACCTTTTAGGGCAAAGTCAGAATTCTTCTTTCCTGAAAAAAAAAAAAAATTTGGGATAAATTCTTCCTGCTAAAGGGGTCTTCCCTCTAGGAGAAAATGTCCATGTAACCTAGGCAACAGTATTCTCATCCACTTGCATCACCCCTTGAAAAGAAAGGAGTTTCATTACAGGTCATGAGAGAGAGCTCTTTGCAATGTGCACAGTGTGTTTCAGAGTAGACAGAAGTGTGGTCCCTGTGACTGCCAATCTATCTGCCTCTTCTTACCTTTCAGCATGTGGCCCCTTTGCCCAGGGGTGGTACAAAGTGTGAGTTTGAGAGAAAAACCAATACCGAGCCTCTTCTTTACAGGGCAAGAGCGGATCACAGAGCCATAGTGGTTAGGGAACCACTCTGGCACTGGGGCAATGGAAGAAGGGTCAGCTCCTTGCTCTGCCCTTGATCTGCTCCAGGCTCTCTGAGTGACTGTGAGCTACCCTGGGATATTCCCATGGCAAAGGACATCAGTATCAGTGATAGGAAGGCTACTGTGTCACAGAGCTCAGTTATCGCCAGACCGCTCAATTCTCTGTCATCATAGTTCCTAACCTTGCTCTGCCCAAGGCACAGGTGCCTAGTGGAACTCTCTTGCAGGTTTCGACTACTCTGCCAAACCATCATTGCTCACAAGCTCTTTGACTACGTTGTGCTGGCCTTCATCTTCCTGAACTGCATCACCATTGCCCTGGAGAGACCACAGATTGAACACAGAAGCACGGTGAGCACCATTTCCTCCCACCTGCTTTTCAGCATAACCTCTGACAGAGGTTCGTAAGTGTTCCTGGCAAGGGTATTACCTCTGGAAGAACTTCAGCATTAAACATCAGCTTCCACTCATCTATTCAAATGCCCAAGTATTAGTAATTCACATAGTGTGTGCTTCCACTGCAGAGTCTTATAATGGGGAAACCCACATTATAATACAGTAATCCTAGTTCCCTCCCTCTTGGAAAGTAAGAGGGTCCCTCCAGCACCTGCAGTTAAGAGATGACTGGCAAAAGGCACAGGGACTGGGAACAAACATGTAGAAGTAACTTCCATTCTGTAGGAGCATGTCATCATTCACGTATTCTGTTTTTGAACTATCTTGGAGATTGCTCAAACTGGCAAGTGAAATGTTTTTTTCTGCATGTCTGTCTTAGCTGATCCCCAGACTCTACTGCACTTACACACAATCCAGTGGTCAAGTGTTCAGCAGCCCTTCAGGAAGGAGTCTTAGGGCAGTGCAGCAGGTCAGGACTGAGCAGCGCTGGCAGAATGGGGCAGAGAGCACCTTGAAACCAGATTTGTGGGATGCGTTGCAAATCTCATCCACTGTGCTCTTGTGGATTTGTGTAGGATCCTCTCCCAGCTGTGGCACAGGGCTGAGCCAAAAAGCTGCCCAGCACTGACCTTTGCCAAGGTCACCTCTCTTATTTCCGCAGCTTTCAGACCCTTCACAGGAAAGCAAAAGGTAACAAATTCATTGGAGGGGCTTGACAGAGTAACAAGAAGTCAAGATACATTTAAGGCCTTTCTCTGTTTTTTCTAGGAGAGAATCTTTCTCACTGTGTCCAACTACATTTTCACAGCAATTTTTGTAGCTGAGATGACACTGAAGGTAAGTTACAGAAGATGAACAGCTCAGAGCCTTTTCCCAGTGTCAGGAACAACATAGTTCATGTTTGCTCAGCACTCTTCTAAAACCTCTCCATCTTTTCAGTGTGCCAGTCCTTCCCTCTACCTTTGTAAAGGCAGATACTGTCTGAAATTGAGTCTCCTCTTGTCAGGCATGGAGGGATGTTTATTCTAGGTTTTAAATCCAAAAAGATCTTAGTATCTGGGCGGGATAGCTGGCCTTCAGATATGGATTTTGTAGTGATGTCAAATGTCTGTTCCCTTTCTCCGGGAGGAAGAAGGGGGGAAAGAGCAACAATATTAATTAACATGCTCTTAGTTGAGATATTTACTCAATAGGTGTCTAAGTACTTTGCAACAATAGGGAAATCTTGTTATTCCCCTCTTGTGATTGGTAAAGAATCCTAAAACTGGGTGCCTGAAGTTAAACCCCTAAAATTTGGGCCATGATTTGCAGGGTGTTCAGCTCTCCCTAAGGCCAGCAATTTCTGTAGTACCTGCTGGTGTCAAGAACTGCTGAGAATTGAACCACCCCTTTAAGAGCCAAAGTATGGGTTTTCATGCCCGATGTTACCTCCCAGGTGATCTCAGGACTGGGAGACTTGTCCCAGGTCTGTGGTATGGCAGGGAAAGGTTTCCTACATGTTTTCTACAGTGTCCTGTTACTCAGGGAGACAGAGGAAAGGTGAGAAGACACCATGGCCCTGTTATTTCTGGAGTTATGTACCACCACTTTCCCCAAAGATGTTTTCCTTCATAGCCTTCCAGGTGAATGGAAAACATGATGAGATGACATTTCAGTGTCATCTGGAGTTGATAAGTGTTCCACACCCTCCCTCTCTCTCCACAGCTGCCCTCTACCAGGCAACATGGAGAGGAATCATTTAATCCCCTCTCCCTTCTCTTGCAGGTGGTCTCTCTAGGCCTGTATTTTGGGGATCAGGCTTATCTCCGCAGCAGCTGGAACATCTTGGATGGCTTCTTGGTCTTCGTGTCTCTCATTGACATTGTGGTCTCAGTGGCCTCTGCTGGCGGCGCCAAAATCCTGGGGGTGCTGAGAGTCCTCCGGCTGCTGCGCACCTTACGTCCCCTCCGGTCAGAGCCCCACTGAGCCCTCCTCAGCCCGCTCTTCCCATCAGCCCCCCTTCCCTGGAAAGGTCCCAGAGTCAGATCCCCCTGTGCCAGGCAAAGTGTGATCTTTGACAAGCCATAAGCCATAGAAAGATTCCCCTTAGCCATATGACTCTGGCCCTGAAGGTACCTCATCAGATAAGCAATCCGTAGGACAGAAGAGGCTTTTTGATCACAGGAGACTGATCCGCACTGATGGATCACTGCACAGGGAGAGCAGAGGTCCACTGCTGCTGAAAATGCTTAGCTTAGGCCAAACATCCCTGCCCTGTCTCTCTGTCACCCCTCCCCTTCCTTCCTTTCCAGAGTCATCAGCCGAGCCCCTGGCCTGAAGCTGGTGGTGGAGACGCTCATTTCTTCCCTTAAGCCCATAGGAAACATCGTCCTCATCTGCTGTGCTTTCTTCATCATCTTTGGCATCCTTGGTGTGCAGGTAGGTTGTTACCACCCATCAATCAACCCCCATGCCCCCACCCCTGCCATGGACATCTGTACCCCCAGGTGCTACAACAGGCACAGGGAACCAAGCAGAGCAGGAAGGGTAGGCAAGCCAGGAAATTTTCCGTACCTGCCCTCCTCTGTGAGCTGTCTCCCACCATAATGCCCCCACAGCCTTTGGCAAGGACAGCCAGGTGCTCAGCAAGTGCAGGCATTGCAGGATGTGTGAGACAGGAGTTCATGCTCACACCTGGCAGGAGTTGGATGAGGGTTTAGGTCCACGTTACAGGGAGAGCCCAGGACTGGCATAGCACAGAGCTCCCTGGGCACATCCATTCATGCCACAAGGGCAAGAAGCTCAGCACCTGCTTGCACGAACCCCGCCTCCAGTCAGCTCTGTTTCTCCCCCTCGCTCTGAGCCTAAATCCACCCACAACTTTCTTTTATTTTTTTATTTAATCCTCTTTATTTTTGGCTGTTGCATTGCAGAGGAGCAAGGGCGTGGGTGTTACTTCCATCTCAGGGAATGCACTATACTTAGTCTGTCCTGATGCATTTGTACAAATGCACAATCCAGTACCTTCCATATGGGGAAAGGAGCCCTGGGCAGAAGAGCCACTGAAGTGCAGTGCAGCTTTGAGAAAAGAAGTATCTGAGAAGCAGGAGATTTTTTTTCCGGTTCTTTAAGCTCAGATGAGATCTTCTTTTCCTAATCAGCTCTCTAAATAACTGGGAAGCAAGAAGAGGAGATTACTCTTGGGAACTGAATAGAAGATTTTTTTTTTTTCCCTTTTGGGCCAGTGGCTCTAATTGCACCCAGAAAGGCTGCCCTAAAGGCTGTCACATGGAAAGGGCATGCATTCACTGCTGGCCTGGGGCAATGGATGAGGCTGAAAAGCCAGGTGTGGGTTTTCAAGGATGGCCCTTGGTCCTTAACAATGTTTGAGCCTGTGCTCTACATCGTGTTGGTAATCCTCCCTACCTGTTATGCTCCACTTGGTTTGCAGCATTGCAGCCCACCCACCATCTCAGGAGCTCGAGCGCTTCTGCACATCCCAAGGAGCATGGGGAACCCTGTGAGGGAAAGGGCTGATGGGGTCTCTCCTCTCCTCTCCTGCAGCTCTTCAAGGGCAAGTTCTACCACTGCCTGGGAGTCGACATCAGGAACATCACCAACCGGTCTGACTGCGTGGCTGCCAACTACAAGTGGGTGCACCACAAATATAACTTCGACAACCTGGGGCAGGTGAGTGTGCCCACAGGCACTGTCTCTCATGGGAACCAGCACAGGGTTTGTATCCTCCTATACATACCACTCCCCAGGGCACAGATGCAGTGCCTGGAAAGCCTCATCACTGGGCCAGGAGGGGTGGTTATTTGATAAAGGTATCCATGCAGAAGCTATGTCACTAGTGAGTTGGTATCAGGATGATGCTTACAGGTTGCAGGTGAAAGAAATGGTGGCAGCAGAGAGCTTGATTTTCTTTTTCCTCCTGCTGTGAAACAGATGCTCTTCACAACCTCTCTCCTCTGGTGGGTCTAGCTGCACATGGCTTCCTGCACCCCCCTCCCTCTCCTCCACGGGGAAGGAGCAGGTTTTGATGTATGCAGACACAGGCAGAAAGAGTATTTCAAGGTTGTGTGTGTTAGATCATAAACCCACATTTTTTTTTTCCTAGCCTGCCAGATGTACCTGCTCCATATCTGCTTTGTTTTCTATGTTGCAGGCTCTGATGTCCCTCTTTGTTCTGGCTTCCAAGGATGGCTGGGTCAATATTATGTATAATGGACTAGATGCTGTGGCTGTTGACCAGCAGGTACAAAGACTTCATTGTAAAAGGAGCTTTTTCAGTTTCCTTGGGCTAGTAAGGCAGAAGAATGCTTTAATGTCCTGCTTCAGACACCTCCCTCAAACCAACAGTTCCTTTCAAGGCCCTTCTGAATCCTTTGCTCATCTATTTGCAAGGAATCAGGATCAGGACTGGTCCATGCAAGGAGGTGTAGCTGTGGCTGTGCAGGGGGTGTCTGCAGTAATTCTCACCCTCTACTCTGGATCTCACAGCAGGCCTTTATCTATTTCTAATGATGGAGCAACAATACAATGTGCCTTTCTGGGCATGCTGTCTCCCTCCTGGCCCACAGATGGTTATTTTAATACCCTGTAAAACAGGGACCGTTGGGCTGCTGCCCACTGCATCCCTATTCCTTACTGCTAGAATAATGATAATGATAGTGTCCAAGTGTAGGCACCTACCATGGGATGCAGTACCACAGGCTTGAACCTCAGATGTGATGCTCCATTTGCCTCTGAACTTGTGCACAAGGTACACCAATGTTGATTTTTTAGGCTTTTTCCAGGAGACCCAGTCAAAGTCAGGGCATCACTTCTTTCCAAGCCTGAATGACATTCCTGTTCTGGTCTCGTTGCCATTTTTGTTGTGTGTGGATATGGTCTCTACTTGCCCTCGAGCCAAAGGTGTTCCTGGTGCCTGGACCACCAATTTTACCACATGATGTTGTACTCAACCTGCAGCTGGGGTTGTGCCTGAATTGTGGGTGACTCTGCAGGTGGGTCCTTGCCCTTGACTCTCACCAACTCCATCAATTGCCAGCTGATGCCAAAATCCAGTCAGCCAATCAGAAACTGCCTTGCCTGTAGCCCCAGCTCTTCCCAGCCCTCTCCCCTGATTTCCACAACTCCAACCCACCTCGCCAGCAGCCAATCACCATGGCAAGTTCCACTGCCATCATTTCCATACCACTGCACATCCAACCAATTGACCACCCTTCTTCTTCTCCCTCCTCCAGCCGGTGACCAACAACAACCCCTGGATGCTCCTCTACTTCATCTCCTTCCTCCTCATTGTCAGCTTCTTTGTACTCAACATGTTCGTGGGGGTGGTGGTAGAGAACTTCCACAAGTGCCGGCAGCATCAGGAGGCCGAGGAGGCACGCCGGCGGGAGGAGAAGCGCCTGCGCCGCTTGGAGAAGAAGCGAAGGAGTAAGGCACAGCCTAAGTGTTTGGTCGGTTCGTAGGCCAAGGTTTTCTGAGAAAAACCTTCTCCTCTTCTTTTTCTTTCCTGATGGACTGGTCTCCGAAATGCATCGCTTGTGGCCACGCTCTCAGCCTTCCTCCCCGCGCCACTGCCGTGTCGCTACACACCTCACCAGGGCGGTCTGGGGAAGAGGGGTGGCTGACAAGGTCTGCTGGGACTCCGGGAAAGCCACTGGGGTTTTAGCACGCTGCCCCTTGGGAGATAACCTGTAACAAAAATACCCCTGTGCACATGCTGACGTGCACTGTCGACACAGGACATGCACGCATCGGTACACCTTGTGGGCTTGGGATAGTCCCACCTGGGCTTCCTGCAATCCAGCTGGTGTTTGGGGGAAGACCCGGACAGACCATCCTTTGTGTTTAAACCCAAATTTAAAGAAGAGGAGGGGAAAAAAAAAAGAGGAAGACCCCTGTGTTTTGTTCCTGGCTCTTTCCATCAATGTTGCAGTGTCACTCCTTGGGGTCCCAGACCCTCTGTGGTAAAGCAAGCCTTCTTCCTGTTGTTTCTGTCCTTTTCTATATTACCTTTAGATAAAAATTGCAAAAGCATGCTTGTCCTTAGAAATCATCCCTACTACCCCAGACTGATCGGTTTCTTCCATTCACAGCCTGTGGGCATGCTTTCCCTTCCTCTCTCCAGTTTTTCCCCTCTCTCCTGTGACACCCCAGGCCTCTCCTGGAACCATCTGCTCCCTTTTATCATTTGTGATCTTAATTTGTCGAGGCATAAAATGCTGATTTAGCATCATTCCCACAAACATAGACTAACAGATTTTGTTTCTAGCATTCCTTTCCTTGTCTTTTTTTCTACTCATTCTTCTCCACTTCTACTTTTCTCCTTTTTGCATTTTTCCCTTCCTTCCTTCCTACGTCCCCTATCATTTATCCATCCTTTTCTGTTCTCTCTCCCACCTTCATTCCCCTTTCTTTCAAAACATATCACCACTCTCACGCTTGCTCCCTCGTCAGTGTTTCTTACCCATTTCTCTCTTTCTTCCAATTTCTTCCTAACTCTGCCCATCTCCCTCTTTCCACTGAAGAGGCGCAGCGTTTGCCGTACTATGCTACGTACTGCCCCATACGCCTCCTTATTCATTCGGTCTGCACCAGCCACTATCTGGACATCTTCATCACTTTCATCATCTGCCTCAACGTGGTCACTATGTCCTTGGAGCACTACAACCAACCTGTGGTGAGTGAGATCATGGAGATAAACCCTGCCTCTAGTCATTATGTTATTTTGCTACAGCTCTCTGATGTACCAGCTACAGCTCATTGACTACCAGCATACATAGGACACTTGAGTGTCTCTAAAATGTACTGTTAAAACATTGCAAGAGTTAATGTAGTAGGCAAAGTTATGTATGTATCCAGAAAGGTAGCCCCTACTCAGACACTTTTTATTCATTAAAATCAATAGAAAGAAGGCATCTAAACAAGAGTCAGGCCCCTGGAAATCATGGTGCAATTAAGTCTTCCTGCTTTATATTAAGTGGGTATGTTTGTATGTTCCCCTGGATCCTTACAGGACAAGTGGTGGAAGCAGCAGTGTCCTGGGAGCTTCAAGCTTTGCATCAGATTTCCAAATCTCAGTCCAATTCCCATGTCATATGGCCTGAGCTGAGAAAATTAGTGGCTGGTTGTGTGTCATGGGATGGGATGTCTTTACTAAGCCACCTTTTTTCTGTAAAAGAACCTGGAGGGCCAAAGCGCTGAGCAGAGCCCCTCTCAGCTGCAGGGGGTAATGCCCAGAAAAGGGCCTTGAAGGCCAAATGAGTTCTATGCTTTGGCTGAGGGAGACCATGTACCTCTCAGTGTTCCTGGTAAAGCTCTAGATGTCTTTGATGGAAAAAATGGACGCTGCACATATGAGAGAAGCTTTCTGCCTCCGTATGTAGATAAAGCATTTGTCACATCTGCCTGGTGGCATTTCAGTTTTCTCTTCAGGAGACCCTTGGTTTAAGTGACAGCTCTGGTGTCTGAGCAGATACTGTTCAAGGTAGCCCAGGCCTTGATCAGGAGCTGAATCTGTCTGTCCTCATTCAAGCCCACTGCCAGGCTCCTGTTTCTTGCCCATCTTGCCCAACTGCCCAGCTTTTACCTTGCCCTTGATGGTGCCCAGTTTTACTCTGCAGGAACTCTCAACTTTTATCTGTTGCCATCCTCATATCAGGCCCTTGTTCCTGAACAAGTCACTCCTCTTCCTTCCTCCTCAGCTCCTTCCCCTGGAATGCAGCTCCAGACATGCTAGCCTGCTGTCAGGGCCTGCTAAATAATCTTGCCAAAGTGCTTGACCTGTTCACACTGGTCCTCAGTGGCAGAGGAGGGGCAGCACATAAAAGAACCAGAAGCCCAATGGCTAAAAGATATGACATATGCCTGCCTCAGACAAAGGCACAGAGGGGTTTCATCCCATCAGAGATGACATGTATCCACAATTGGAGTAACCTTTGTACCTCACTCCTGGTTGATAGTTGTGCCAGTGCCATTAACATGGTGGCATCCAGAGGAGGCTGATAGTACTTCGTGGATTCCTCTTGCAATAGCCTCCTCCTCCCCGTTACGCTGAGCAGTACAGGAGAAAAGAGCATTAATCAGTTCTGAGAACAACATGGAGCAGAGGGGCCAGATGGTGGTTGCCCTTAGTAGGCAGCCCCCACATTCATGTAGGTAGGAGTCTTGGGGCACCTTCCCCACCTCCCAGTGAATTTCTGGCACTCAAGAGAGTTCCCCCACAGGTTACATGCCTGATGTTGCTTTTGCCTCAATTCTTTACCCTCTCTTTCTGCTGGCAGTCCCTGGAGACCGCCCTCAAGTACTGCAACTACCTGTTCACCACTGTCTTTGTGTTGGAGGCAGTCCTCAAGCTGGTGGCATTTGGTCTGCGTCGATTCTTCAAAGACAGGTGAGCAGAGGGTTATGTCTACTGTGGCTGTGGGACAACTGGGTTTGAGGTGGAGGTTTTGAGGATGGATACTTATCTGGAGTATGAGGTGGTAGCAGAGTGCCCTGACTGCCTCCCATTTCTGCACAGCATGGACCTAGCCTTGGCCCCTGTGAACCGCAATGACAAAGCAATAATAACTGTTGTCCAAAAATGGCCTCCTGGTTGGCATCTGCTGGTTAGGCTAGAAAGCAAAGGAGGTGGGATTCGAGAGAACCATTCTTTTCCTGCCCTTGAGGCAAACCAGTAGCATGCTGAAGCAGAATGTGTATGATGAAGCTGGTTTGAGGTAGTAAGGTTGTAAAAAGCTGAGCTGATTAGTCAAAGCATGGCACCATAGTAACCCAGCCCCATGCTTTCAGATCCGGCTGGCTTGCCTCTGGCTGCTCAGGGTGTGTGCAAAGTGAATCTCTGTTTGTCTGCAAAAGCTGACTCAGACTGGGGCCTTGAACTCATACATAAAGAAATATTTAGGTTGAACTGGAGACAATTCACTTTATTTTTTCCAGGGAAATGGAAAAAACTCCATCTTTCTTTATTATCTTCAATTTTTCTTCTTAAGGTGGAACCAGTTGGATCTGGCCATTGTACTGCTGTCTGTCATGGGCATCACACTGGAAGAGATTGAAATCAATGCTGCTCTCCCTATTAACCCCACTATCATCCGGATCATGAGGGTGCTGCGTATTGCCCGGGGTGAGAGAAACACTGGCCAAAGGCAGGGGTGTAGGCGACCATGGAGTGGGACTTGGTGCCATGACCCATTGAACAGTGGCTGTAGAGTCATGGGCTTGCCCTGTCCCTAGCACTGAGACTGAGGTAGGGGATGTGACAAAGGACAGCCTGGAGGCTAAGGCTTTCTGGCTTCCTTTAGCCAGGCATTTAGATGCGGTTGTTTTAACAGGAGGTGAAGGACCAGGAGGGTGAGCAGATCATGTGAGAGCTGAACTTCCCCTGCTATTCTTTTATGGGGCAATTATGGCAGTGATGTTTGGAGAAGGGTCCACCCAGCAAGTTGAAGTTTGCACAGGGAGGGGACCATATATTCTTGGTGGTGGCCAAGGTGTGCTAAGCTGCCTTAACAGATGGTGACTGGAAGAAGAGAAAGTGATGTAATGAAAAATCAGAGCAGAGAATTGTGATACACACTGCTGGGAGAAAGAGGGCTCTTGGCCGGACTGTCTGGGTGAAGCAGAGGAGGCCTGACAGGCACGGATGGCAGAAGTAAGAAGGAGATGGACTGGAGGAGAAGGAACCACTGGGGTTGTACAGTCAGAAGAAGTGGGAAAAGGGAGAAGGGGACAGAAGGTGACAATCTAGTTTTTCTAGGGCAGGGGGAGATAGGATATGTGTCTTGTGCTACTGCCATTTGTAAGTCACACAAAGGATGGACCTGCTGAGATCAGTCTCAGTGACACTTTTCTTGTGCTTGTTGCGGCAGTCCTGAAGCTACTGAAGATGGCCACAGGAATGCGAGCACTGCTGGATACAGTTGTTCAAGCTCTGCCACAGGTAAAACAGACCAGCTTCCCCAAAGACTCTCCTTTTCTGCACTCTTTTTCCAAAGCGTTGATTCCTGTGGAGTCTCAGAGGTGGTATCTATTGTGTCGTGCAGGCAACTGCCTGAAGGTGGTGTCCAAATTTTCATGTCATTCATGGGGGTCCAGCTCTCCTCACATAGGTGTTGTCCAGGTTATCATGTCAGTCATGGGGTTACAGCTCACTTCACATCTCTGTTCTCCAGTAGGTGTATGAAATAAGGCTTGATTCCTGGATAAGGGCAGATTTCTTCCCATCACATCTAGCTAGTGTCTGGCTGCTTATGACTAGTCCCCAGCTCCTCTGTCCCCTTTCCATAAGAAGGGAAGAGTGACTGACAGTCATTTCAGGAGGAAAGATCTTTGCACCTCTGCCCTTCTCACCCATCCCTGCATGTGCCCTCTTTTTTCTGTCTCTCTTTCATTTGCACTCCCATCACTGCTCTTCTTAGCCAGGGCCTCCCCCTTCCTACTTGCTTTTCTTCCTCTCTCCTTCTGGATCCCTTTGTGTTTCCAAGCCTCTCATGTATGAGAAGCAGTGACATGCTCTGTTGTGGCTCACGCAGCCGGCAGTTAAATGTCTACGGCAAGACAGCTAGACAGGAGGATTTCATGAGCTGTGAGTGGCAGCTGTTCCCAAATGAGATGCTGACATGGTGCTTTACACAGGCTTCCAGCCCACTGTGAGGATCCTCTGTGATGGATGAGCAGCCAGGGAGACTGGTCCCCTTCCTTCTGGATCCTTGAGAGAGAATTCTTAAGCAAGGAGTAATGGCAGCAAGTGGTTCAACTGATCATACATCAGACCATTCCCCTGCCAGGCCCCGAGCAGGCAGCTATATTGCATGATATCAAAATGCATGGGTATTTGTCAGTTGATTTATCAGCTAATGTGCCAGTCTCAGTGAGTGATGAAGAGCTGAGAATCAATCTGAAAACAGCATGAGTAGTTACCCATGGAGTTTACTTCTGATGTTGGTGACCATAAATGTCAATATGAGTTAGATGAATCTCATGGCACAAAAGTGAGGCGGAAACACTGTGATCCTTTATAGATCCCGTCTCTGTCTGATCTCCTATGCTTTTTATTAAACAATAATAATTTGTGGGTTTGTCTAATAGTAATAATTATATAATTCATATGTAGGATGTATAATAATATAATCATCCAGTATAGTTGGGGTCTGAGATACACTGGACAATGGAAGAAACAGGAAATTAAGGGTGTTCATATACCAGGCAGCTTTGAGACAGTAACATTTATTAGTTCTGGTTCTGCTGCCCCAGGCTGGCAGTGCAGCTTCTTTGCACCTTGCTCTTTTCCATTCCAGGAGCCACAACAGCTGATTTTTCTCAGGCGAGGATCTGGAACAGAGTAGGTCTCCAGATCCAGTGTCTGCATGTCTGTGGCATGTTTATTCTGCAACCCAGATAAATGCACACAGGTGTTAAGAGCTGACTGAAGTATATCCAGAAGCCCTTGGTAAGAGGACTCTGCAGTATATTTATACTTAAATGGTGAGACTCAACTTCTACCCCCAAACTACAGAGAAAAAATAAGAGGAAATGTTCATATCCCTGTCATGTAGATGGAGAAACTGAGTCATCAGACATTGAAGCGTTTTGCTCAGGGTGGCAAAAAGCACAGCTGGGACCTCAGTTCAAGCCTCTGAGCCCTGCTGTCATCCTAGGCACAAGCCACAAGCATATTCTTCTGTACTTTATAAATTCTGGATTTCCTCTCTCCCATTCACCTACAGCCCCTTTGCTAACCAATCTGGCAGGGCAGGTTTTCTGGAGGTCATTAATATCTGCCACAAATCCCTCACAATCAGATGTCAAAAGGTCTGGCCTCTAGGTATTCCCTGGGAGGTAATAACAAGCAGTACTTAGTCCTCCCAGCATCAAAGCCTATGATCAGTCCACTTCCTATTGACTGGCTTTTGCTTCCTTCTGTAACAGATTGGCTTCATTTAATGAAGTTACATAATAGAGGGATTAAAAATAATTCTATAGTTAAAGTTGTGCAAAAAATCTGCATTTAAAGCAGGGCCAAAATCCTCCAAGTTTCACTGTTAAGAGATTGAATTTGGTCTCCATATTTTATACACTGGGTCTTCAAGGAACAACTGAGTTATCTGTAATATTATTCTCCAAGATTTATTGCCTTTGTGAAAAGAAGCAGTTTAAAATAAGCTGTCCTTTCCCTTGCACTTTTTCCTCCTGTCGACCTTTCTTTTTATGTTCCTAGAGCAGAGATTCACATCAGGGATCTTGGCTTGCTAATGGCATATAAGGCGTCTCCAGTTGTCCTGTTTCAATTCCCTTCCTGTCTTTGTTATGCTGCAACAATTCTTGATAGTGAATAGAGCTTTAATTTTAAAGAGCCCTTTGGAAATCTAGCCCTTAGCTAAGTTTTATTAAGTTCTTTTTCTTAATACCCTGTAGACACAGACCCAGAGGTGTGTGTTCACAGCATTTACTGTGGTGTCCAATTTAGTCATCAGAAATAATTCCCTCCACTGAGTATGTAGGGAGCCAGGATCTGGCAGCCCAGGGGAGTGGGTGGGCTGAATCATTCATTTCTCTCCTGAGTTTGGATGGTACAGCAGTTGCAACGACTAAATTAGACCCCTGAAGTGGATGATCCTAACAAAGTGACCATGTGCATTCAGCCCAGACAGTGTTCAGTTTTTTAAAAACACACATGTACCAGTTAGATCCTTAATTTTTCCCTGCCTTCTCTTGTTCCGCCAACAGTGTGCTAACCATTCCGTTACTGTTCAGCCTACCTCTCACAAAACCCCCTCCTCCTTCTCACATATAACCCAGCTGCCTCATATGCTGGGAGGCAGAAGATTCAGAGACAAGCAGTGATTTGGGAGAGTGAGGACTTGGAGGCAGTGCCCATATTGCTGGTGGCACTGCTGCCTTTGTGCACCACAGAGCAGCAATAATCTCATTGGGGGGTTTCCAAACAATACCTTCTGAAGGCCCAGAAATCAGGCTTTGACCATGGCCATCTCATCCATGAGATGCAAAGGAAGCTTCCTCTCTTGACTCCTTCATAGTCTCCTCTTTCATCTTCTTCTCTCCACACATTTCAAAAGTGTCTCTTTATACTTCTTCCTTCCCACCTGCCTACTCCTTCCACAAGCCCTGCTGTAACCTCTGCATGTAGCTGGTGCTTTGCCCCACCATGCTCTGCCTGATTCATGGCAGGAGCTGATTCACTTGTGTCCCTGTCTCTTTGGAGCAGTGCTTCAAGGGACTTAGGTGCTTTGGTAGGGCATGTAGCACTGCAGGACATGTCTGTATGCTGTAATCCATAGCTTGTCCTTCACCCGGCCAAACTGGCTTCACCTTCTGTGCCCCTGCTCCAATGTGCTTGTCTTTATCTGGCCCAGAAGCTGCACACTTCAGCACTTCGTCAGCCCTGGCCAGAGCTTGTGCTGAAGTGGAGGTAACTGGGAAAAGAGCATCCTTCAAGTCTAGTTGCAACTGGTACCATCACTGGTGGTTTCCCAAGTGCTGAGCAGTTGTTTGGTTGCATTTTAACACTGGGAATTTGCTAGTGTCCTCTTCAGGCTTTGAAAGACAGAAACACTTGCCTGTACAGATGAAATAGGTTTTGGGGTAGGCTGATCATGCTGTTTGCTTTCAGGTGGGAAACCTCGGACTCCTTTTCATGCTCCTCTTTTTCATCTACGCTGCTCTAGGAGTGGAGCTCTTTGGAAAATTGGGTAAGTCTCAAGCAGACCATGCTCCAGTGTGAGCTACAGACCTGCTGGAAAGCTGAGGTTTCTTAAAATCAGTACTCATTCAATAACAGGACTGAATTACTTGATGACCTTTATTCTCCCTTGTGTGTAATTGATGTAAGAGGAATTTCACTCTGAATTGTTATTGTCCTAAGAAAATAAAAGCACTGTCTGGTTTCTCTTTCTCTTAAACGTTTGCTTTTTTGCACTGCCTACCCTGATATTGCCCTCAAGATTACAAGAAAAACTCAGGGAAAGTTTGTTTACATCTCTTTCCATGAGTTGATCAAGAAGAAAACGGCACAATGACACTCTGGGAGCATACCCCTTGAGCAACAGAGTTACACTGTCTGATATCCAGGGGCTGAGCTGTCAGGGATTTTTCTGTATTGCTGGGCAACAGCCAACTGTTGGGCAGGGTACTGATGTCATTACCTGAGATCTCCAGGCTGTGAGAAGCCTGAAGTCCCCTTCCCCAGTTCCTGCTGTTGATCTAAGGGCTGTCAGCGTGTCCTCTGCTAATAGCTGTGATCCCCTTCCTTTCAGTATGCAATGATGAGAACCCCTGTGAGGGCATGAGCCGCCACGCCACCTTTGAGAACTTTGGGATGGCCTTCCTCACGCTTTTCCAGGTGTCTACTGGTGACAATTGGAATGGGATCATGAAGGTAACTGGGCCTCGGGAGTGCTGATGTGCTTATGGTGGGGAGGGAGAAATTCTTATGTGTGCTCTGTTCAGAAGTGCTTGGGCTAGAAAAGGGAAGGAGTGCAGGAGCTGGGTTGCTAGATAAGTTCCCTGCTTTGGCCAGTCTCCCTCCCTACCACAGTAGCTCAGACCTTGGTCTCATCTAGTCCTACAGATATCTGGCTGAGAAAAGTGAAAATTATCCTTGGGAGGAACAAAAAGACTGTCCAGGCTAAGAGGGAATGTCCACTGTTATAAGGCCTGTTATCAAAGCTCAGTGTAGGTGCTTTGGACATGACACCCATCTGCAGAGCTACCAGGGCAATCCAAAATGAATACTTTCTTCCTTCAAAGGACATAGAGAAAGGAAGGTTCTTTGAACACATATGGTGCTTTTGAGTCTGTATGGGAGAAGGCAGTACTAGACTGCTCATTTTTGTTCTTGCTCACATGTGTTGGACTACAGCAGCAGCAACATGTGATAGTCTGGACGTAGTTTGCTCTCTACATCTTTGGATTTATTTGCTCTGAAGCAGAGAACACATGATCAGATAGCGTCCCAGATTCTTTGAGAACCTCATGATCCCAGAGGGTGTGGAGTGATAGAAATGCTTGCTGCCTTCTTTCCATTGGCTTCAGTGTTCTTTGACACAAAGAGCATCCAAGTTTGTATTCTTACTTTAGTCCTTCCTTCCTTCCTCCCTTCCTCCCTTCCTCCCTCCCTCCCTTCCTCCCTCTCAAACCCAACTTCCCCTCAAGGATACCTTGCGTGACTGCAGCCACGATGACCGGAGCTGTCTCAGCAACCTGCAGTTCATCTCCCCACTGTACTTTGTCAGCTTTGTGCTCACAGCCCAGTTTGTCCTCATCAATGTGGTGGTAGCTGTGCTCATGAAACATCTAGACGACAGCAACAAGGAGGCCCAGGAGGATGCAGAGATGGATGCTGAGATTGAGCTGGAAATTGCTCATGGGCTGTGCTCCCGCAAGTCAGGCTCCCCAAATTCAGGACAGGGAAAAGGATCAGGAACAGGAGGAGGCAATGGGAGAACAGATCCTGAAGGACACCTGTGCATGAGGTGTTACTCTCCAGCACAGGTGAGTACACTTTTGAGCTTACCAACAAGACTGTGGCATGTAACTGTGGGGAGAAGCTGGGCAGCCTTTGATGACTGAGGGCTTAGCAATAGCAGGTAGGCTCTTCCACCTCAGGGTGAGAGGTTTGCTTTCAGTGGTAGACTTCTGAGTTGGTAGGATCGTGTAGGGACAAGGCTGTGACAGCAGTGGGTCCTGTTCATTGTCATCATAGTGTAGGAACCTGAGGGCCGACAGAGGAGGGATGGAGCAGATCAGCTAAAGGTGTGTTAGGAGCAAATTGGAGAGGGAAGCTCAGGAGAAGAGAGTGGGGGAAACAGCAGATCAGGAGTGAGGCATTCCAGCAGAGCTGCAAGGGAGGCATGAGTAGTGCCATGGTGCACTGACAGTGAGTGAAGACAGTCCCTCCTCCTTTTTTTTTTTTTTTTTTCTTTTTGTTGTTGTTGTGGTTTTGGTTTTTTGTTTTATGGTTTTGGTTTTTTTTTTTTGCATTGAACTCTGTCACCTTTACACACCTTAAGAAGCAAATGCTCCCCCAGTGACCCTGTGCAAGTACCTGCAGAACAAGGTGCTGCTCCAGATGAGTCAGGGTGGAGAACCCAGCCCCAAATTCACATGAAACTTTGAAGCAAAAAACTCAGCATTCTTAAAATGATCTCTCCCATCCTCCCCCCTTTCTTGTCCCCTAGGAGAACTTATGGCTGGACAGTGTGTCTTTAATTATTAAGGACTCCTTCGACGGGGAGTTAATGATCATCGATAACCTATCGGGCTCCGTCTTCCATCATTACTCCTCGCCGGCCATGTGCGAGAAGTGTAACCATGACAAGCAAGAGGTAACCTGCGTACGAGGATGTGTGAGGGGACTCTCCCCCCAAGACCTGCACACCCACACCCACGTTGCCCGCAGGTTGTCTGATGTGTGCTCCTGGCTGTAGATTGTGTAGACAGAGAGCTTGTTGACCTGTGTTTGTCATCTGCCATGAATTGCTGATACTGTCTCTAGTACAGGCCTGCCCTCCTTAGCCACAGGGTGATGTTTGAGGTGGTGGAAAGGTGAGATGTGCCAGGACACAGGTCAGGAGGGACTGAATGAGCTGTAGAGAAATGCTATGAAGGCATCCTGGCAGCTCTTGTTGTGTTGAATTCTGCAAGAAAAGCAGAGGTTCAAGCTCCTGTTGTATGGAGGACTCAAAGGATCTCACCCTAATGACAGCACTCAGGGGAAATTCAGTGGGAGATTTACGCATGTGTTTTGTCTTCATTTTAAGCATATGCTTGCTTATTCCCTGTTGAGGTTGATGAATTAAGCAAATGCTTAAATGTTTTGTGGAATGGAGTCACCATCTGTGAGCAAGGATTGGTTTGTGGTGAAAACCAGTTAATTAGTTTGAGAAAAACTAAATAAGAATGGGCCCAGTGAGAAAGTTTGAGAGTCTCTTTTCTGATGTGGAACCTTTTAGCTGAGAAATGGGTTGTTACTAAGAGCAGGACACCAAATGGCTTATACTTGTGCTTCTAACATTAGTAGATGGTTTGGAAAACTACTTCCTAAGCAATTAGTCTTTTCAGGATATGAAACTTCAGGAGCAAATTAGTCTGGGAGAAGTTAGGTGAGTAGCAGAAATAACTTTGTTTCTGAAATAATTTTATTGTATTTAAGTGCTGTGATCATGGTCATACATGTAACACTAGCATGAGTCATCTGACAGTAAATCAGTAAATACATCAAGTAGCAATCTTCACCAACTCCTTCCCTGAAACAACTGATAAGTTCCTATTGCTCACAAAGAAACCAGGAAACTTGGGAAGAGAGCAGAATTGGCAGATTACTGTATCCATGTTTGAAGAAAACAACATTTTGCTTGGCTTCAGTTGCCCTGTTTTAGTGTTCGGATTTTTTTCAGCCTTTCAGATATTTGCTTGTCCTCATAGCTTCCCATTGAAAGTATCAAAATGTGAACATTGCTGTAGTTTTTCAGTATTGCAACACTTCACAAATGGATGCTGCATTAATGCAGATAAATAACTAGTTTTCATTTAACTGCAATTTCCACTGCTTTATGTAAATCCTTATATTCAGCAATTGGTGCTCAGCCTCTTCAGAAAATCAGGTCTTCTAAGTCATTCCAGAATGATTGCCCCAGAATTAAGTAATTTGCAGCTGTTTTCTGCATTTTACAACCTTCCAGATAGTCTTTGGTATCCTGCCTATGAATGAAGACACCAACAACAGATTTTCTTACCTTCCCAGCAAGGAAACTAAACAGCAAAATCTTCGAGTGCGACCCACAGCCACAGCAAAGAGTTTAACAGAATAATCAGAACCAAAGAATTATTCTTAGATCGTATTTTCTAATGGCTGTTATAGAGCCATAAATTATTTTTCAAAATTGATATTTTAATACATCTAAAATGTGGAATTGAAAAGAAATTATCTATATCTGCAGGAATAACTTTAGTAGTTAAATGTAGATATTTTATTTCTGATCATATGAGTCAAAACTACAGCTCAGGATTTTAAGTCATGGTTGATTGTGACCTTCTCTTCATATTTCATAGTATAAAAAACACCGAGGAAATTCCAACAGAAAGTCACTACATGTAGTCAGAGCTAGGCTTGTCCCAGCACTAACACCAGCGATGAACATAATCAGAGGGTACTCTGGTACATCAAGATATCCTAATGTGCACTGTACACACAGACAGAATTGTAGTATCTCATAAGAAATCAATAACAAGTTATATAGGCAAACCAGTTTTTATCTAGTCCTATTCAATACATGTGTGTTGAACAAAATAATATGCTTGCTGCCTGCCGAATCACCCTTAACTCTGTCCTTGTGAAAAAGATCACATATTAGCCAAAAATGTTCATTCCCATTTTGTTTGTAGTTTAATCTGTCAAGATGCTGAGCACAGTGGAAGAACACAACACTTAAACATATGCTCAAAGTTATAATATTAATATGTGCTAAACTTTTTGTTGCAGAGTAGAAGTGCTCAGCGTCTTTCCCAGTTACACTGCTGGCATCTTATTTTCAAATCAATTATTTGTTTAATTAAGGATTTTTGTAATCATGGCTCTTCTTTAAAAGATATGCTATATCTTCAACTAGTTATTTTCTAAGGGATATCTGTTCATGGTTCAGTGTCTCAGATTTACGTCCCTGGCAGTTTTCATGGAGTGTGCTCCTAGTGAATCACCACTGCAATTTAAAGCTTTTTTTTGTTCCTTATTTTTAGTCAGAAGGTTTTTAAATATTCTGTGGCAAGGGAAGCTATGAGAACAAAGTATCTTTTTTTTTCATACTACTAACCTCTTGTCTTGTCATAGCTATCCTTTCACTCTTGGGCTGGTTGACAGTTAGACATCTGTGTATTGGTGGCTGATAGTGTGTTTAGCCAGTGGCAGGAGTTTGCCAGTGAGCAGTGGTGAACCATGTTTCCACACATGCAGTTTATCTATTCATGACTTCATTGATTATGTTTTTTGTGTTGATTCCAGGGTGGCCAGAATGTGTGAGCAAGTGGTTTAGTGAAGAACAGACTATTCTGGCTTTTGTTGAAACCTTTTTTTATGGACGAAGGAGGTAGTCACAGATGTTATCACATTTCATGCTCGTGTCTCTACAAGCACAGCTTCAAGGCTGTTCTGGTGTTACAAGCACTTAGGCGAGTAATAGATGAGTACGCACATAAGTGGGGCTGAGTGAAGACCGTGTTTCTCTACACAAGTAGTTGCTGACTGGTGGCTGTGTAGCGTGCTTGACATAACTTCATTGTGGGCTCTCCGATGCATCAGTGCTCTGAGCAGCAGTTGTTGGTTTTGGGCTCTCTTCACAGTTGAATGGCACCATGTTCCTGTGTCAGAATAATATTCCAAATAAGGATGTAATTTGTGCCCTTTATTTAAATCCAGCTCTGGTTTTCTGTCCTGTTTATTCAAAGTGCATTATCCCTTGGATGGAGACCTCTTCCAGTCTCTGGCATTGGCACAAGCCACTAAACTCCCAGCTCGAAGGAGTCATCTCTCCAAATGTCCCACCTGCTCTTGTAGTACAAAAGCTGTATCCACCTCTTGCAAATGCAAACCCAGCAGGGGACAAGTTAAATGGCCAGGGAGTAAGCTGTCCCGATTGAGACAACCCTGAATATAGCTCTCAAGAGTCAGGTGCTGGTTTTGGAAACTGGTGGGACTCTAGAGACCAGTGAGCACAGGAGGGACAGAACAGCTGCTTAGGCTATTAGAAGAGGAAGATGCTTTTCAGGCATTGTGGGAAAGACATGTCAGGCAGAGGGGACTTCAAGCTTGGAGGAAAGAGGATGGGAGAAGGGGCACATGTGGTATGAAATACACCAAAAGATGAAGCAAGGTCAGGCCTGGGACTGGGGCAGAGCTGAGGCTAGTGGTCAGACTTGGTTTCAGAGAGCACAAGTATGAGTGGGCAGGAGGGGTGAGTTTAGGGACAGAGAACAGGATGGGAGATGGTGCTAGCTGAGGTCTTGGGTAGGTTACAGGTGAGGTAGACAGGGAAGACACAGGGAAGCTGGAGGGAGACAGGGTTTCAGTGATGAAGGTAAGAAAACATGAAAAGCATGATATTGGCATGTACTGCAAGAGGCATGACTATCCCTGGAATGAAAACACCTTTATGTTTAAGCAGGGCTGTCTGTGGCCCCTTCAGAGAGAGGGGCTCCACTCCTCATCCTTCAGCAGAGCAGACTGCTTTCTCACCAGCCTGAGGGAGTCCTCTTCCTGTCTGGCTTTACTTGCAGGGCTTTGTGCCATCCGTATCTCTGGGACAGATTCAGGACTCCTTCCTCCAAGTCTGGCACTAGAGGAGCATGGACTGGCAGTGGGCTGCTTGCAGATATGTTCAACCTTCCATAAAAAGTGGATTCTTCTGCCCAGCCCAGGTCTGGGTTAGGCAGTGCCTGATGTATCCAAGGAATATAACCTAAAATTGATCTCGGGTCTACAGGCTCTCACTTATTCGCCATAAACAGTGTGACTGCTTGAAATACAGATGCCAGGCATGAACAGTGACAGCTCCTTTCCCTTCCTGCAGGTCCAGCTGGCTGAAATGGAAGCATTATCCCTCAACTCAGACAAGTCCTCTTCCATCCTTCTAGGAGACGAGTCAGACAATCGCAGCACTTCTCAGCTGAGTCCTAAGGAGATCAAGGTTAGTCCAGGGCAGTCATGAGCATGTTGAACCATGTGCTGTATTTCTGTCCCTGCTCATTTAAGTGCTCTGTATTCATCCAAGTGTCTCTGCTGAGGAATATAAACGCTGGTCATTTTTCAAGAGCTTCTCTGTAGACACATATTGTGGAGAACGATTTGAGTAGAAAAAAACGGATGTATATTTTTGAAAGGTCTCTTCACTGTTGTTAGCAACTTCCTCTTAATGAGCCTAGATTTAGGGGATTTGGGCTGGAAACCTGACCATCTCTTAGCTAGCTTCAGAATCAGCCCTTCTTGAGGCTTTGACAAGTCTGGTCTGTCGTCTGCCATTAAATTTCACAAGGCTTTGTCCTCACTTATTTTTTTCCAGCAGGATGGCCAGGACAGCCCTGACTCCAATTGGGTAGGTGATCTGGGGGAATGCCTACTCCCAATATCCAGTGTGGATGGCTCTACAAACCCGGACAGTTACCTGTGTGAAATGGAGAAAACATCTTTCAACTCAGTCCAGTCTTGGCTAAAGCATGAAAGTACCAAAGGTGAGCATGGATCTGATCATTCTCCGGGTCTGCTGAAAGTATGGGTTGGTTCAGCTCATCTGCCTTTGTCTTGCCTCCCCTCTGCCAAGAACGGAGTTAATGTGATGTGGGATTACACTAACCAAGAATTAGCTTTCAGTTTGCCAGTCTTCAGAAATGGGGTGAAGAAGTTCCTTCTTTTGCTGCTAGATCTTATAACCTCCCTCAGAGTTGCCTATGTGAAGTATCATGAAAGAGCCGATTCCCATTCACAGTAGTGGACCCATGCACGGTCAGAGAAGAGTGGGAACAGACCCCCCTGACATGCCGGTTGGATGTGGTCACCTGGCACGTTACAATATTGCTGCCTAACAACAAGCTCCTCAGATACAGGTTCAGGGAACATGTAATACATGTCTGTCCTTGGTGGAAGTGCTTCAGTTGTATTCTTGAGCATGCTCAGGCCTCCTGTGGTCCCCAGGTTTCCACCACTTTATTTATCTCCCTTCCAGGATCTCAGATGAAAGTCCTCTGGCATACATAGTTTAATCAAGGGCTTACAGCTCAGAATTTCTCTGTGAGAGCAGCAACAGGAGAGTCAAGCTGGGCTGCTACTTTATGGCTCTGAACTGTGTTAGATCTTCTGGGTCTGGTGCAGGTTTTGGTCCTTGTGTAGAAAGTAGGACCCACTGGTGTGATCACTAGATTAAGACTTCTTGGCCAAAAGTGCGTGTTACTAGTTATCGTACATACACTGGACTTGCAGGACCCTTGGTGTAACAGCAGCAAAGGCATCAAATCAGATGGGAGGACATTTCATTTTTTTTTCCTGTTTCTGTTCTCCTTCCCATTTCTTTTGGTGCTTTGTCAGTCCCTCCCAGCCCCTTCTCTCCAGGTGCGTCTTGCCCTCTGTTACCTGTACCAGCAGAATTTTTCCACCCAGCCATCTCTGCCACTCAGACAGGGCCTGAGAAAGTCTCATGTCCACGCAACCTTCCTAAGATCTCCCTGCAAGGCTCATGGGCATCACTGAGGTCTCCAAGTGTGAACTGTTCACTTCTTCATCAGGTGAGGACCCCTGCTTCCCTCTACTAGGAAAGCTTGATCTTCACATCACGCCCAACCAGAGGGGACTGAACAGGCATGAGGGCAGAGGAAGGAGAGAGGAAGATGTGGTCATGGGCTGGGTGACCTGGATCTAACCTGTTGGAGAAGCACAGTGGACTCCAGAGTGCTGGAGGGTTGGGGAGGAGAGAGGGTTGTATAATAAAGGGGTGTTGTATAGCTCTCACTCCCTGAAATCATATATTCTTCTGCTTTGGATCAAAAAATAGTTTGACAGCTAAGCTAGCCCCACATGAAGATGAAATCATGTCACCTTTTAGCTAACCCCTGGGTCCCCTGCACCAAGTACGCTGCAGACACCTGCATGCACAGCATCCACAGTGTGAGACAATGAGGTGACAGCCTCCTTGGTTCCTCTTAGAGCCATGGCTCCAGATCATGCACCTTCTTGGTTGGAATAGGCTTCTCCCCACCTACCTCCTCCACAGCCCTTCATGCCACATCCACACGCTGCATCCCTGAACTCGCTCTTTTCCCCTGTCTGCTTATCTCTTACTTATCACTTATCTCTCTTTCAGAAAGGTGCTATCTCTTTCTGAAAAGGCACCTATTTCTCACTAGTGGAAGAGAAGAATAAAAGTGATGGGGAAGATCAAGTGTCTCTGAAGAGCAGAGGAGGCAGAGATGAAAGTCCAATAGAGATCCCTGTTATTGTTCATGGAAGATACTCCATGAACAATTCCTGTTGAGGTGTACAGGGACATTATTCTACACAAACGAAAAAATAAAAATGAAATCATATGTTATCTAGTTCTATGTGACAGACACCCTTGGCATAATACAAATGTGTATAAATTTACCTAGGATAAATATAGCCTCAAGATGAGACCACTGAGTTGTTGCAGTGTTGAAACTTCTGGTACAAGTTTAGACACGAAGAGGAAGAGCTCTGGAGCTGGCATACCACTGGGACAAAAGTACTGAACTGTTGCAAAGGAGAAACTTCTTAGTAAACTTCTGATTATGTGATGCAGATTGTATTGAATTACTATGGTTCGGGAGATGGCTTCCAGTCCTACATGCATCATTCCCAGTGCTGTGTCCTAGTGATGATCTCATAGTGCAGACCAATTTCCTAGTAACAATTGAAATGCAGCTTACCTAACTGAGCCCTGATACAAGGAAACTAAGGCTGTTTCCCCTTCCTGGTGGAAGGGGACGCCACCTTTCTGACCTAAATACCATCATTGCCGCTAGTGCTGGTCAGAAGAACCATGAGACCTCTTTTCTTTCCCCAAACATTGCTGAATTTTTAATGAGAGGAAGTCTATGTACAGATCGTGAGGTCTGTGTACAGAAGCTCCCTGATTTCTGGCCTGCTGGTTTTGATGTGTCCACTGCCTGTGTGGCAGGTGCACAGGGAAGCCAAGAGCAAGGACCCACAGGGAATATTGGCTCCACTGCCTCCTGGACCACTAGTGGCCAGGGACTGCCCAGCAGCAGGGGCTGCAGAGCTCACAGACCTGGCACCCCTTCCCTTTGGTGCATCATTTCACATGAGAGGGAAAGGTTCATCATGGAGAAGAATGAAATCGTAGCTCAAAATATTGAAACCTTTACTTCTTCCCCAGAAGGGAATCCCCTGGGCAAGCTGTGTGGCTGGTGCTTTGTAGCATTGCTTGGGTGGTTTATAGCTGCCCTCCCAAGCAGAGTGAGAGAGAAATTGGAGTTTTTCCCCTTTTTCTGTAATTGTGGTTTATTTTCACACCACAGAGTATTTAAAAGAAAAAAAAAAAAAAGAAAAAAAAAGGCAAAGTCTCTTGCCCCCTACCCATCTCTTTTCTAAGAACTGTGTTTTCACACTGCTGCTCCACAGGCCCCTGAGAGTGATACATCGCTGGACAGCCGGAGCAGCAGCTCAGCGGGCAGCCTGCAGACCACGCTGGAGGACAGCCTCAACCTCAGTGACTCTCCTCAGTGCACCCTGGACCTCCCAGTGGCTCTGTGCCCCATGCCAGCTGATGGCAGCCAAAGACCCCTGGCAGCCCCACTTTCCCCTGCCTCCCGCCGCCGGAGCCTGCGGGGCCGGGGACTCTTCAGTCTGCGAAGCATGTGTCGTCACCAACGCAGCCACAGCAGTGGTGGGAGCACCAGCCCTGGCTGCACCCACCATGATTCCATGGACCCCTCAGACGAAGAGGGGGCGGGCAGCAGCTTGCGGGGGGGTGGCAACAACAGCGAGCCTTCGGAGACCCTCAGCAGCCTCTCACTGACCTCTCTCTTCTCGCCCCCACCACCGGGGCTGACACTGGTGAAGAAGTGCAGCAGCACCAGCAGCCTCCATGCCAGTCCCTTGCCCCGCCGCCCTGCTGCCCACCACACCAAGCCCTTCTACACCGTTGACCCCCGGGGCTTCCTTTCGATGCCCTCCTGGGTGACGGACTTCTGCAAAGACACCCCATCGCCCAGGGAAGGAGAGGAGCCGGATGGCCCCAGCAGACTAGGGACAGGGGACTGTGGCTCCCCACTCCCATCCAAGCTGGAGCTGGGCGATGGAGTCAGCAAGAGGAACAGATGAGGGTTCCTGGGGTGCAGGGAGGGAGCATTCGGCCGCTAGCATGGGGAGCATGTTTCATTAGCTTCTCCCCAGCAGCAGTTCCAAAGGATTTGCAAGAAACAGAACCAGGCAAACAAAATTTTATAAATATATATATATACATAAATATATATATATATGGAATAAATACTCTGGTACCATACCTCAGAGGCGTGGGAGAGTGCAAGCAATACGGGAACAGTCCTGCCCAAGGGCAAGACCTGGACCATCACTGCAGAGACTATAGTGACAAGAAAAGGCCATGGGGGTGGGAGGACCAGGACCCCTCCTCCAGCCAGGTGACTGCCACATGGCGGTTGTTTAGTTATATACATATACATATATAGAGATCTCGATTTATTTATTTTTTTTACAGAGAGATTATGAATTTCAGAAAGTGCTAAGGAGGAAGAAGCAAACAGGGGCTGAAGGAGGTGCTATGCCAAACGAGGGTGGGGGTGAAGGGAAGAGAAGCAGGGTGACCAGCAAGGGAAAAGCGTCTGGGGTTTGCCTTGCATGCTGCTAGGAATTTCCTTATTGTCCATGCTTCCATTTCAAACATTAAAAATTGTGGGCCAGATCTTCAGGTTGAGTGTAAATTGGCAAAATGCAATTGTACGCGCCTGTTAGTGTCAAGCAGCAGCACTCTGGCTTGAGGTGGATTCATGCTGATTTACAGCCGGTGAAAATCTGGCCCTGGCAGCAGGGAAATGCAAACAGCCATGGAGCATGGGAAACGTTTTGAGGTGAAAAGCCTTGCTTTGAAGGGAACGTGTGAACGCAGCAGGCATGCTCATGGGAGAGGGGATGAAGCTACATGGAGTATTTTTGTTGGTTTTGTTGGTTTCGTCTTTTTCGTTTTGCAACGAAAGAAAACTGCTAAGGGAAAAAATTACAAAGTATGTGGGGAAATTTGGAGTGGGAAAGACAGGGTGGAAGGGGAGAGGGAGGTAAAAAGGGGAGAGGAAATTGAACTTTTCCCCCTTTCATTTGCAGTAATTGTGATATTTTATTTTAGAAGCCCAAAGGTGCAAAAATCATCTCTAGAGAAACCTGTTATTTTTGTATCTATGGCTATATATATTAAAAGAAGACAAAACCTAGAATTTTAAGAAAGACAAATAAAAGCAAAGGGGGCTTCAACAACACAAAATGTAGTCAGTCCCCTGGCTGAGGGCTAATCCTGTTCCAAGTCCCAGTGGGAAGACCCTAGAAGAACATCCTCAGCTTGGTGGCAGCTCTGCCTCCTCTCCAGCATCACCTTCATCCTCTGGTGTTTTTCTGATTTGCATCAGCATAGCTGGGACCGGAGTCCTGCTCAGTGCCAACTGTGGTCATAGAGAGCTGGGAGTATTACCGTGTGTGTGTATGTGTGTGTGTGCATGCAAATGTAAGGATGTTTGTGTGTGTTGTGTCCTATCTAACTGGCTCACCAGATGGAGAGATGGAGGAGAAGGAGAAGGAGAACTACAGCTCTCCTTGCCTCTGTTCTGCAAGGGAGTGTGGGTGAGGAGGGCTGCGGTGTGGAGGATTGAGGGCAGACTGTGACTCCTTGGACCATGACCTGCCTCAGGATCCAAGATTCAATCTGGCAGACGTGATCCTGTCCTAGTGTGGTTGCATTAAGGCCTCCGGAGGCTGCATCTCTCCTTGCCTTTCCAGTGGTATGATTGTATGTGCCTCCTTCCCAGCCATGACAAACCTGGATCTCCTCCTGCAGTAACTCCAAGGTTTTGTACCCTTCCCAGGTTTGCAGGTGGTTAGGAAAGCCAGCCTCTTGGAAGGGCACCAAGAATTTTGGATGTCACCCACCAACCCAGGGAAGTTCCACTAAGGTGTGTGAGTGAGAAGGTCAATGGGGAGACAATAGTAGCCCAATGGAGATGGGGAGATTTGGAGGCTGGTACACTTCTCAGAGGAGGAGCAGCGATCCCTTGGGGATTCCTGTGTCATTTTTTCCATCAGATCAAGAGGTCCCCTGCAGCCATCCCAGAGTTCTCCCAGCTGACATATGAAACACTGTGAAGTGGGCAGTACAAAACAGATGTTCTGGTTTTATTATGACCTGTCTGATTTTAAGCAGTTGTTGCATCATACTTACTGGGGCTGTAAACAGTAAGCACGTCAAATGGGACCAACAGCTAGGGAAAGGATAAATACTGTGTGGACTTGATTTATTTGCTGGAAGGAGTGTTTTCTGTGTTGCAAGCATGCATGCTGGCTGCAGGGAGGTCAGGCCTGTGGAGACAGGAGAGCCCGGGTCCTTGTTCTTGCAGAAAGGATGCTGATCCAGATTTATTAAAGCAATAATAAGGGTCTTTAAATGATTTATTTTGCACTGGTGGTTCTTTGGGTGAGCTGCCCCTGCCTGCTCTCCCATGGGCAGAGAGGAGAGACAAGACACGTGGTTTCACATGCTTAGGGAAGAAGGACAGTCAGTCCCCAAATGTCTGAACAATGAAATTGGGCTGCACAAGGCTTAGACTCAAACCCAGAGCTGTTTTGAAGCCAGAGGTAGGGTTTACCAAAAAAACCCAAACAGTTAAAACTCATTGAAACCCCAGACAGCTCAGTGCACAGAGTGTTCCCTGAAAGGTCACCATAAGGGCACTTGGAGGTTGAACTCTGAGCTGTGCTGGCAGTCATGTGGGCTGTGAAACATTTCAGCTGCTAAATGGAAGAAAAGTCAGACATTGGTGAAGTGCTAGAAACAACCCCGGTATTTAGTCATATTAGAAGTATGGCCTGCACTTGGGATAGTTGGGAGGGGAGAAAGGTCAAAAGATGGTGGTGGTAACCTCATGGGGTGACTTACAGCCTTTAGGATGGATGCTGTCTCATCTTATATTCAGTTGTCCCTTTAAGTGACTTGCAAGGAAAAAATTCTCTGCTTCTCTCACAGTTTGGGGTTCATGCTCTGCATGATGTCTCCCCTTTGCCTCCCAGCAAGGTCATGCCACCACTCCCGCCTCCCCACAAAAGGGTTTTCACTCTCCACTGTATGGCTCGAGCAAAAGGCTTCTGGCTTAGGAAGGAGGTTGCCATGGAAACAGAAGACTAGGTTATCTTTAGAGAATATTTTGTCTCTCTCTTTTAATTATTTACTAACTGCTTGAAGAAGAAGGAGGAAACATCCATCCTTCCTGAAGAGGAAGCAGAATACTAAAACCCAGCAAATGCCTTGTGTTTTTGCTGGGGATTTCTGTGGCGGGGCAGGTTGTGCGGTTTCTCCTGGCAAGAGCTGCCTTTCCCAGCTTTGCCTGGCTGTTGGCACCAGGAAAAACCTCTGTCATCACCCACCCACCTCCCAGACAACACCTGAGGGCAGCCCTGGATTTGCCCAGCCATCTTTTCAGCCTCTCATACTCCCCACTTCCCACGGGGGACTATATCGCAGGCAGCTCCTGCCAGGAGGCACTTTGCTGTCATCAGCCTGAGATCGCTCTGTTTTGTCCCGCTGCCATGTTACCCTCGTACCCAGCTCTCCCCCACGTCTGCCACCAAAAGCAGTCCCTTTCCCTGCTTGATGCTGAGCTCCTCCACATGCTCGCACACCACTACTGTGTCCTGCTCTGGCTGCTGCTCCACCAAGATACGTGTATTTAGCAATTTTGATCTTGGCTTGCCAGCTTCCTCCACCTCTTTTCAACATTTTTCTTTTTTTTCTGTGTCTTCTCTGCACATCTTTACATCTCACCACAGCCTCTGGGCCTATTGGTGTGGTTTACAGAAGCTGCAGAGCAGACCCCATTCCTCATGCTTCTCACCCCCTTGCATAAGAAATCCTCAACTGCTCCAATCTGCCCATGGAAAACACACCTGTATTTAGTATCTTTTCTGCACCCAGAGACCCCATCTCAGCACTGCCAAACGAATGAAGTATGTACCACCAGGTGTACTTGTGGTTTCTCCATCTTTCATCTGTCTTCCTTACTACTACAACAAGTTTCCTTGTGAAATTAGATATATGGGAAACAATGGCCAGCATGACCATTGTTTTCTTTCATGAGAAGTTGGCAGTGAGGTGCATTTGTGGGGTTTGGTTTTGTTTTGGGGGTGGGGGGGTGGTGGTGTGTGAGGCCAGGTCCTGTGAAGGACTGAACACCACCTTATGAGTTGAGCAGGCCTGTGTGGGGAATGGGAAATTGAAAGTGTCATTGAGCAGGAAAGTGATTTTTTCAGACAAAAGAAACATAAAGCAGAAAACTCAGATATCTTCAAGGAATTTTCTACTTTTCTGCTGAGAATGAAATGATTCCTGCCAAAATCGCTCTTGTGTCTAAAACGCTCCCACAGGACATCACAGCGGTACTGTGTCCTGGGTGGCTCTTTGTGACTGTCTCCTCACGACACCAGGCTACTTGTCCAACCCACAGGGCACTGAAGATGGGTCCCCAGGCAGTTAGTGCAGATGTGCCCTGCACAGCCACCATGCAACAAGAGCAAAAGGTGCTCTAGTAGTGGCTCAGGAGCAGAGTTCTGATTTTGGCCAACGTAACATAAAACTCAAAATCTGTTATGGAAGACATGGAGGTAAGCAGCTTTGGTTTGCCTGTTCTTATCACAAGAATTTTACAGATACAAAACACAGTGCACCTTGTAGGAAGCACTTGGTACTTTGCAAAGCCAGGAAGGACCCTGGATGTATGCCACCTGGTTCAGTTTATCTGCATGTGATCTGACTTTCCAAAAATTCCCTTCCTTCATCTTCATGAATACTTTATTTTATGAGATCTGCCTTCTCAAGTTTTTTTCATGTTATTTTTGCTCCTTGCTAGGGACTGGCTTCCAGTAGGAACTCAGTTTCTCAGTATCTTTGAATTATCATTCATTTCTTCCATCTCATTTAGATATATATGTTTCTTCTCTAGCACTTTTTCCTCCTTCTATGTATTTCCAAGCCCCCTGTTTATTTCTACTAAGATCCTGTCACACTTTGAATGGGAGCTGGCAATGTGATATTCAATATTTATGCCTCCCAGCCACTTCCAGAGCAGATGTGCTCAATTTACAAGTAAAAAGCTCTCACCCCCACCAAAACTGGCATCCCAGCCTCTGGTTTGCAGTGCGCCTCTGTTTTTGCTGCAACAACAGTCACAGTAATAAGGGCTCTGCCCTTTCCCTTATGCTGGCAACGAGATTGCACAGATGGACCTTATGGTTGGGTATGTCCTCAGCATTGCTTTTCATGTCAGCAAAGCTGCTGAGCATCTTTCAGGCTTGAAACATTAGTAGGAGCAGGGAGAACTCGGCACCTCACAAAGTTGCTCCCATTAACAGTTGGGCTGTTGCCATGTAAGGCACAGCAGGCTCCAGCTCACACTTACCCTGTGCTGTGCAGCGTCATGGGTGCAGAGGAATACAAATAATTTTCCTTAGCGTTTTTTTCTGTAGCCACCAAAGTCAGCAGATACAGCGCTCTCTTTGCCTCACGGTCCATGGAGCAGAATGATAGAGTGGGAGAGGCACTGTTTTTCCAAGGACGTTTTCCTGGAAACCAGAGCACTTTAACCCCTCTGGCTAACACTGTTTTAGTTATCTGTATTATTTCTGAAACCGTTAAAAGATGCTGTGGTTTGGGGTTGGTTTTTTTTTGTTTGTTTGTTTCTGGTTGCTGGGGCAGGGTTGGTGCACACAGTGCATCATGCAAAACAACAGCAGCTCCTCCTGCAGCTTCCCC